ATGATAAGTATGTCATGCTAAAGATAATGTCACCTGGTCTGTGGCATAGAATATATTCTCAGTTAGTCTGTGGTTAAAATTATGTTAAAAAGTTGTTCTTAGATCTGCTGCGTAATAAATGATACTTCTAACGTGTGTGTTTGAATATCTACTAATAAATCCAAGAGAAAAAACTCAAAAGCTGATTTAAGGGCATAACCAACGATGAAAAAAGTACGCGACTATGATATATGTAACACTACATTTTTGATGATTATGAGACTACGGAATCGTGTTTGCTGATTTTCAGTTCTCAGCGTGTGAGTTGATGACGAAGTAACGCAATGCCAATCAGTCTAGGATAGGAATAGGGTAGACAAAAAAAATATAAAAAAAATATTACCCTCGAATAAATTAAAAAGATATATGCGTTTCATTCTACGCGAAAACTCATGTGTAAATGTGATTGTTATCAAAGCAATATAATGACGCACCACCTTTTAATTATCTATTTTGAATAAAAACATAATAAGAGTACAGAAAGGCTTTTGTAACCTATACAATATGCACTACGTATTTTTTAATACAGACATTGAAGTAGTTCTGGTAATTTTCACGAGAAGCGCCAGTTACGATTTTTATCTGACAACTTATGCAATCTTCGCTATGGTTTAGGTTATGGTTTAGGACAAAGAGTAATATAACATTATTATAATAAGAATTGTATTGACATTTTTGCGATGAATAACGTTTTTTATGTGACAAAAATTAATTAATTTACTTGACATTGGCATTTGTGCGAAAAGCGCAGTTAAGCCGTTATTCAAAAAAGAAGAAGAAGAATTTAACTTAGTTTGAGAGAACAACATCTTTGGTGTAATATACTGAGGATGGGACTCGAGATTCTCGAAGTTTTTTTTAGTTTGAGAGATTATTGATAAGAGTTTTGAAAGATTATTTTTTTGTATATTCATTTTTTCTGATTATAACACACAAGATTATTTTTGTAAACTGAGGATAACCCATAAGGTGTCAAAGCAGACATGATAATATATTTTTAAGTTGCTATTCAATAAATTGTAGGTAAATTTCGTGTCAAGAAATGCTTTTGGAATAAGAGTGACTTTTGATGATCTTTTCGAAGTATTGATTGATAATAACAAAAAGTATTTCATTTTTAAAGTCGGTCACTTATAAAATAATGTAAAATGTAAATAAAAAGTACCTATATTATTTGTGTCCCAAAAAAATTACATTTTAACCTTCAATGTTGCCAAACATATGGCAATTGCCGTTTTATATGGCAATAAGTGACCTAATTGTCTATTTATAAAGTCATTAACCCTTTCCAAAGGTATAGAAATTGTGATAGTGATTTATGGAATTATGTTACGTTTAAATTCACAATCACTTTTCTAACGAATAATTATTCGAATGATCAAGAAAATTATTAACTTTAGATAATATTTGCGCTTAACTTGCTGCTCACCTTAGACAATTCTAATTAATAGCATCGCCTATCATCAATATATTTCATAAAACATCATCACATGACAAATAGTAGTAGCATAAAGTTCGTAATACAGAAGGTATTTAAAAAAAACGAAAGCACTAAAAAAGCACCTCCACTAAATGGTGACTCTAGCAAAAGTTGATTTTTGCAAAAAACGAATAGATCAAAGACAATCATTTCCATTCCTTTTAACTAACATATTTTAAAACTGAAATTTGAAAAGTTTGAAACTTGATATCAATACAAAAACGAAAAAGTACAAATAGAATACAAGTTTTTTATGGAGTTTTAAAAATGAATAAATTTTTAAACATGAAATATAACCGGAAAGGTTGTCATGGAGAAATCAAGAACATAACGTAGGGTTGAAAACACTTTTTTTTTTAAAAAACTTTGTAATTTAATATCTCCGAAACTATTTGACCTCAGCTACTGTCTGTAAGTGACTCCCAGTGGCGTAAAACCTCAGTGCACAGAGTAATTGTTGCATAGGAGACAATGACTTATTTCTGTAAACATAAAAAAAGCATGAAATAATCACAGTTCTATCATTATAATTAACAACTAAATTGGCCAAGTACTTACCTATCATCCGGGTATTCTAATAACTGTTCTATTTTCTGTAATAAGAACATAACACTGCTTTTACTTAACATATATCTTGTAACAAAATCTTTGGCGTCGTATTTTGTAAACAAATCTGGTCTTTCGCGATATGTCCTTGGTCTATTAAACAGTCTACGCGTAGAGACACTATTAGAGAATAGCTCCACTGTTTCAATAGTATCGATATTATCCAAAAAATCGTACAGTTCTTCATCCATTTTAACTATTTTAACTAAAATCGTAAAACACGTGAATCTGTCACTTAGTTACGGGGCAGTTAGGGGATGGACATTCGGGCCCCTAACTTTAAGGGGTTACCTAAGCGTTTAAGGGTCCCCTAAAGGTTGGTGAAAACGAAACTAGCGTTAAGGGCCACTTAACTTAGCTTAGGTGGTCCCTTAACTTTAGGTGACGTTGGTGAAAACGGGCATTAGACTTATATTTTTTTTTACATCATATTAAAGACAAATAGTCTTACTTTTCCCCAACAATTATCAAATTACTAAAATAGTTTAAATGATGTTTTAAATCATCCTTATGATAAATTTCTTTCGATAGGTAACTTCAACTTAGGTGGTATAATTTGGAACTACGTGGATAGTTGTTACTTTGAGCCTTCTGAGTTTGGCTCATGCGACGAGACCTTATTGTTAGACGAGATCGCTTTACTCTTGGTTTTAAACAGTTTAATGGTGTACGAAATTCTTACGGTAGAATTTTAGATCTTGTTTTTTCTAATGATATTGTTTAAGTAACCGATTGTAGCGATAGCCCACTTGTGCCGATTGACCCTCAACTTTGCCCCTTAAAATAGTGCTCCAAATCTTAAATATCTTTATAACATAGGGGATTACGATACGATAAATTTGGAAATTTCAAAAATTGACTGGGATACTGAATTTAAATCTAGGTCTCTTGTAGCAGTGACCTTTATAACGTCTTCTCTAGATTGTGAGAGGATTACATTCCACTTTCCGCAATGGTACAGTCCTGCTTCGATAAACGTTATCAATGAAAAACATAAATATTAAAAAAAAAACTTACGGGAATCGTGCGAATGAAGAATCCTTCAAATTATTGAGAGGTCACTGTAAGGTCCTAGATTTTATTTTATCGAAATTATATTTATTCCGTTGAAAGTTCGCTAAAGGATAACTCTAAATTATTCTGGTTGTTCATTAAGTCCAAATGTAATAATAATGAAATACCGTGCAGTCTTAAACATGAAAATACTATATATATTACAGGTTCATCAATCAATATGTAACGCTTTTTCGAAATATTTCCATTCAAATTTTATAAACGTCCACGCTTCTTCATTTGATTCATTTAACGAGTGCTAATCCCCATCAACTGTCATAATGAAGGAACTAAAATTCTTCCAACATTAGCAAGAACGAATTCACTTCTCTTTAAAGCTAGAACGATTTCACTTCTTTTTAAAAAAATCCATTTTGACATGGCAAAGGTTGGCATGATTCCTGACATGTAGAAGCATGCCTTTATCACTCCAGTCCATAAAAAGGCTCCAGATCAGATATAGCTAATTACTTGCCAATCTCAAAGCTTTGTATTATTTCTAAAGTTTTCGGGAAAATTGTCTATGAAAAACACTAAGTTAAGTCAAGAAACTGTTCTCAGGGACCTGGGAGTGTTCTCAGGAAACTTTTCAAATTTCAGTTTTTTTAATATGTTAGTTAAAAGGATCGGTAATGTCTGTCTTTGGTCCATTCATTTCCTGAAAAAATCAACTTTTGCCAGAGTCGCCATCTAGTGGAGGTGTTTTTTTTTAGTACTTTCTGTTTTTTCTTAAAGTAGAATAGCTGACACTCAAACCTTAGCTCCCGTTGTACACATTTTTCGCACATATGGTCAGCTAGTTGCGGATCATCCGCTTTTCTTAGCTTGCTTGGCCCAACTGAGAACAAAATCAACAAACGCCAAACAAAACATAACATTAGCATCCCTGACATTAAAATAGTAAACGCTCTGTCGTCTGTATAGAATTCCACTGAAGTTTTCCTTGCCACATTATCACTAAATGTTATTTTAATTACTTCCTCATTACCCAACCAACTAACCAACTATTCTCCTATTTATTTTACTATTGAACTATATTTTTATTATATTGTGTTAAATATAATAATATCAACATCGTGAAATTTCGTCATTCTCTGAAAGAAAATACGGCAAAAAAGTACGGCAATTATTTGCTGAAATACGGTAATATTTTCTCTTATAAGCGGCAACCCAACGACCTTCTATAAGTTCTTCATTACATTTCACTTTCATTTTGATAGTGAAGTTTGTAGGGTTTGAGGGAATTATCTAAGTTTGTGATAACTTCAATTCTGTAGATATAATTTATTTAATTTATATTTTATAAAGAAATCAGCATGACTGAGTAAGTAGAAAAATTACTTTAACCAGATAAAAGTTTTAACTAGTAAAATTAAATACGATTTTCAAATTTTTTGTAATTTTAGAATTAGTACTGATTTTATTTTTTTCCCTTTTGATTTGGTTGCTCAATATCATTTAATGTCTTGCATAAAATGTTCTATCCTTAGATCTTAGAATTAATGTATGGTTTGATCTTAGACTACATGTTTCTTCGCGACTTCTCTTGCTTTAAATATTGCATATGCTTGTCCTAATTATTATAACTTCTAAACTAATTATTAAAATTTGACCATTAATTTTAGAGCTTATTTAATGAAAAGAATAAAAAAACCATATCTTTATACTTTTATCTTTATTTTAAGTTATTTTAAATTTGTCTTGAATTGTAGAAATTAAAAATACCAAAGCAAGGTTACATGAAGGTGAACTCAATGGTAGCAATTCTATGGCACAAACTGGACTAAATTGAGGTTTAATATTGTCGAAGTGCATTTTCAACTGAAAATTACTAAGACATGTTGTCTTAACATGTCTTAGGTAAACATAATATAATAGATCATACTAAATAGGAATATTGCTACATTTGTTTGAGAATAATTATGATTATATCCTGGCTGGAAATTACTCCTTTTTTATTATCCCATATTAATGTTTTATTATTATTTTTAGCCAAAAGGCAGATCTAGCCCTGATTGGTCTGGCAGTCATGGGGCAGAATCTCATCTTAAATATGAATGATCATGGATTTGTAGTATGTGCCTATAACAGAACAGTGACAAAGGTAAATATGAGTTTTAAGTAGAATATAATATATTACAGTTAATCGGTTAAAACTGCCATTCAATTGAATTGTTAGAGCTTAAATTGAATGATAATCAACTGCACAATGAAATTTGCAGTTCATTATGACATTTAACATTTACTTATTATATATTTCTGGCAAAGTGGTGTTTGCTTATCCTGAGAAAAAAAAGACAAAGACAAAATAAGTTGCTTGTGTTATTAAATATGATAACAGCTGGTGTCACCTCAAAGTAGGATTAAAACTAAGAAATAAATATATATGAAGATAAATTGCACAATTATGGGTTATAAACAATGTTCCATTAAAATTTATTTTAGGTTGAACAATTTCTTGCTAATGAAGCAAAAGGGACAAAAATAATTGGAGCTAAATCTCTTGAAGATATGGTGCAAAAGTTAAAAAAACCAAGAAAAGTGATGTTGTTGGTGAAAGGTAAAAATGAAATACTACATTTGTATTTTAGCTCTTATTGTTTTTAGTGTGAAGTTGGTTAAATATAGATTGATGGCCTTATTACCATTGTATACTATATTAATATTCTACATATAACATATAAAATATTCTTTATATTGTGTGTAGAATATTTTGTACATATTAAGGATTTTACAGCTGGGTCTGCAGTTGATGAATTTGTGAAAAACTTAATACCTCTTCTTGAAAAGGGGGATATTATTATTGATGGTGGTAACTCTCAGTATTTAGACACTCAAAGATGGTGCAAAGAGCTCGAGCCAACAGGCATTCATTATATTGGTATGGGTGTAAGTATAATTAATATTTTTAAATGTCACCTTTTAAGATTACAATGTATAATTAATTATTATAACTAATGAATTTGTGATACTAATTACTTATTGGGGTATGATTGTCTGAGAATAAATGTATAAGTAGCTTCTTTATCCAAGGCTGTTATCTATTTTTTAGCAGAGTTTACCAATTAATCCTTGATTGTTCAACATATATAAACAATATTACTTAGCAAAATCCACTTTGTCCCTGGTCCACTGAGATGAGATCTGAAGAACATAGTGGATTATATAAGCATTTTTCATTAAGAATATATTGCAGTATAACATTATGAAAATACAAAATAGATCAAATATAATAGATATAGAAACAAGTCATTTACTTGTATATGTTTAGGTGAGTGGTGGAGAAGATGGAGCTCGATATGGACCTTCATTGATGCCTGGTGGTCACCCTGCAGCATGGCCTCATGTCAAACCCATATTTCAGGTTTGTTTTCCTTTATACTTTTGTAAATAAAATAAAACTTTCATAATATTATTTTTTTCACGACAGCGATTGCTTATATCTCTTGATATAACTCTAAAAACGTTTTATTGATTTTATCGAGTAGCTAGAAGGCGTGAGTAGCTCGGTGGCGTTATGGGTAATTGCCGCGGCTCGATCGTTGTTATTAAACAACTCGCAAAGGTTTGTTACAGGATGGGTGACATAGCCCATCTTCCTCAACTATTCATAAGGAAGACTTAAGCCCCTGCAGTAAGGACGTAAATGAGCTGATGACAAATATCAAATTGAGTAAAACTGTATTCATGTACTCACAAAAACAAAAAGTATAACACAACTCGTAATCTAATACCAAAAAATTTATTTTAGGCAATTAGTGCTAAAGCTAATAATGAGCCATGTTGCGATTGGGTTGGAGATGGTGGTGCAGGACATTTTGTAAAAATGGTTCACAATGGCATAGAGTATGGTGATATGCAACTCATCTGTGAAGTTTATCACCTCATGAAGGACGTTCTAGGTGAGATATATCACACATTTATCTGACGCTCGTGAATAATTTTAAAATCATCAAACTGATTTTAATATTTGAAAATCTTAATAGGTATGACGCAGGATGATATGGCTGTTGTATTTGAAGACTGGAATAAAGGCGAACTGGATTCATTTTTAATTGAAATCACTCGAGATATTTTGAAATTCAAGGATGATGATGGTGAGTTACCAGTTTTCACAGGATCATGTGCTTATAAATAATGATTATTACTGTAACATTTTATAGTTACATGCAGTATTCTAAGCTATGAAAATTAAATATGGCACTTCGAAATTATTTATCACCACGTAACATTTGACTAAGTGGGTAAAATTGCTTTTACTCTTTTTATCTAGGTAAATTTCTTCTGCCTAAAATACGTGACTCCGCTGGACAGAAGGGCACAGGAAAGTGGACTGGTATCAGCGCTCTGGAATATGGGGTTCCAGTGACTCTTATTGGAGAGGCTGTGTTTGCACGGTGCCTATCAGCTCTAAAAGGTAATAAAGTCCTTACACATGTTATGATGTCCATTATTATTATTATTAGTTATCCACGTTATAACGCATGAACTTAGCTGAGCATTATATATGATCCTACCTCCTAAGGCATATTATTATATCTATATATCTATACTATAGCTATATCTATACTAATCATATTTATTATTGATCTGAATTAACAGTGAATAATTATAATTAAATAAATAAAATAAAATATTTAAATTATATAAGTTATGAGTGCGAGATTTTGCGAGCAAAGCATTTGTTTAAAAAACCCTTTAAGTAATAAGCATTCTGTAAACTAAGAGATAGTATGTGACGGATATGTGCAAAGTAAGTGTAATTCACATCAGCGAATGACCTATTAATTATACTAAACATTAATTTTGTAAATGTTCTTTAACATATATATATATATATATATATATATATATATTATATATATATATATATATATATATATATATATATATATATATATATTCAATTGTTAATGTATATATAACAGATGAGCGTGTCAAAGCGAGCAGAACTCTACCAGGGTCCACAGAGAAATTTACTGGTGACAAGAAACAGTTCTTAGATCATTTACGAAAGGCACTCTATGCCAGTAAGCTCATTTCCTACGCACAAGGGTTCATGTTACTCCGAGAAGCAGCCAAAGTAAGTACTATAAATATGGAATTACCACCAACCAAAATATGGATATTCTAATATAAACATCACAGTAATAATAAAACTTTTGTTCATTTGAGTTGAGGTATAAAAACGGTTATAACTATAGTCATTTTGAACATGCCAAATCTGCTAAATCTCCCTCATGGATGGCTGGAAGCGACATCAAGTACGGATAAGCCCGTTCGCTTGAATTGACCTACTTATATTTATTAACAATAGCATTGTATCATAAACGCTATATTCACTTATAATTCTATTCTTTGAACAAACTAAACGTAATTAAATTATATTTCATAATTTTTTTATTGAATTATTTATAAATTATATTTTCGACGACGACCTGCATGGCCGAGCGTTTAGTACGCCGGTTTCAAGGTTCACATCATCTCTGAGGTCCCGGCATCGATTCCTAGTCGGGTTAGGACATGAAATGGCCTTTTGTATGCTATTGCATTGTCTGGATGTTGTTTTTGTAGATTACCTAAATATTTAAGAAATAAGCACACTGGTCGTAAAAGAAACCAGTGGAAAAAAATGCAGAAATAGTTAATAATTCAAAATATTATCGGCCAGCATTGATCATAGATAGTCCGGAGAGTAAACCTACCTATAGTAATGTGCACGGACCTTACAGTACTTAGTAGTGAATTAAATTGATAAAGCATTCGCTTGGTTAGTGAGTCTCATATCAAGTCTTGGGTACCTGACATGTTTGAATTTTTGAAGTTTTGAGGAATTACAGCTGTCGCATATTTTAAAGGCTGATATTAGTTATTACGTTACAAGTGGAATGCTCGTGGTGATGTGATTTAAAAGTGTTGCCAAGGCTGAGGTCCCGGCTTCGCTGAGTGTCTTGACTCTTGAGTGGTCGTGTAGGTTTGACCGTAGGATTGATCTTATCTTTATAATCATTTCGAACTTTGAATGTTTCCCGCGCTTTTCTTAGATAATTTCACTATCAATTTAGCCACAAATTATGTCATGCGCTCTGATTGGTATTTCATTTGATGTTTAGACACAGGCTACAGATATTGGAAAATTATATTTTCGTTGAGTGATTTAAATATAGAAATTATTATTATTTAGCAAAAATATTCATCGAATAATCTTTAAACTTTATGAACTTTTTCACTACTTTAATTTTTTATTCAATTGCTGTACATTCCCTTATTATCAACGTATAGTATATGTATAATTTACAAAAGATTTAATCTGAAAAATCAATTATTCTTCTTAATACTTACCCAGTTCCGGTGCACAATTGTCGCCTAGAGAAATCATCACAGAATATACTCTGTGATAGTATGCGAGACTTTATCTAGTTGTATTTTGATTGAAGATTGCACCTTGCATTTATCGAGCCGTAATATCGGTTACTCTGTAAATATAAGGCACATGGTAGCATTCCCTCAATTAACAAATACAATTATGTGACATTATTTAATATTTATTATTATTTCATTACAGGTTCACAGTTGGAATTTGAATTACGGCAGTATTGCGCTGATGTGGCGCGGGGGTTGTATAATACGCAGCGTGTTCCTCGGCAATATCAAGGTGAGTGACCTTCACGTGATCTCTGCGATCACGCCGCGCTGCTATCGCGTCACGCGGGACCCAACACGGGGTCACGTTACGTAAAATTTGTCAATGACATGACGTTCACCGAACGAGTGTTGAGGCCTGTCGCGCCGTGTTTTTTATTATCATTATTATTATCTGCGAAGTATTTAAGGGAAAGAAGTACGGATTTCTTTTATGTGTTAGGTGTAATATATTATTATGTGCCAGGACTTCGTGGGAAGGATGAGTTAAATATACTGAATAACTTTTACTATGGGAGCAACACTGAAATCACAAAAAAATATCAGCTGTTTCATACAAAATTGTAATATCTACAATAGCCAGCAGCAGCAGTGTTGTATTGTTAAATAAACCAAATTATAAATATAAAAAAAGTTAAAATAAAGCAATTTGAAAGACGAAAAACTTTTATATTGTTTTGCGAATCTACAGCAAGAGACCTTGTTCTGGTAATAATCGGCAAGAAACTACTTTTAAACGGCGTTTGCAGAGCGACCGCCTAATTCTTCAGCTATAAATATAGCCATATAGATGAGATGAGATGTTATAGCGCTATTTCTTTTCATTTTACTACTTTGACATATACTTTGACGACGACGACGAAATAATGATAAATGTGGCATCCGAATACACTAAATGTGGATTCGAATTCGGGTCTGGATTTTTAAAGAAGCCTTTACTTGAAGATTAACAACAATAATAAATATTCTTAATGAAAAATGCTTAAAAAATCCACCTTGTACCTGGTACTCTGACTTGTGATTCGAACCCACGACCTCTCTCAAAATTCGGGCGATTGCTCTAACCACTGAGCTTCCCAGAACCTAACAGGACCGACTTATTCTATAAGCACTTGTTACTTTTTAGTTACTACTACAGAGTGTATTTTACAAACAGCCGAGAGAAATATTTTTACAAATATTTTTTAATAAAAAGTTGTTCTAACTACTATATTATATTAATTAAGAATATTTATCAGTATGGCATAGCGAATGCAAAACTAATCAAATGAAATAACAATAATAAAGTGTGAATTCTATCTTATAAGGATGCGTACACCAAGAATCCCCAATTGTCCAACTTGCTGTTGGACCCGTACTTCAGCGAGCGCATAAGCGCGTGCCAAGGGTCGCTGCGGCAAGTAGTGGCAACTGCGGCGTTACAAGGAGTACCGGCGCCCACTCTCTCCTCAGCGCTGTCCTTCTATGATGGATACCGATCGGATGTATTACCGGCTAATTTGCTGCAGGTAATATAATTAAATATGTTTTATAAAAGGGAATATGCACATTTAAAATAAAATGGTAATTTATGCAACTGTCATATAAGAAGGGGAAGGGGAATATACCTAAGTTATATGCAGTTTCATACACTACTTTATCTTGATAGGAAAAATTGAAATTAAACAAAGTTACTTAAACATTTTTGGAATCCCGAATACAGAAACACAATCGGCAAAAATTTTTATGGGAAGCGCGGGAAATTAAGTTCAAACTACGCATGCGTGCGCCATTTTTTCATATTCATCCTAAAACCATAAATTAGTTTATTAATAAAAAAAAGATAGCGGTACGATAATGAGTTTTATGATACAGTTGGCGGTACTATAATGAGTTTTATTTAATAGTTAGTTTAGTATTTATTTTTAATAAATAAACTGTAATAAAATACCTAAATAGATGAAAATAAGTAACAACTATTTTGGCGCGCTTGTCGTGACGTCAAAGTACACAAAAGATAACGGTTGAAACAAAAGTCATAACGAAGCCGAAAGATACATGTTGAGGTCATCAATACTGACAACTTTTGTTCTAGAATAATCTTGGGAAAGCATAGTTCACGGAGATATTGGATGTCACAGTGAAAACAAAAAAATCCACTTTTTAATGAAAAACGCTTTAAAATGTTATTACAAAATATTTTTCCAAAGAAACATAATACAAATAAGCAATAGTTATTCTTTAAATAAAGTCTTAAAATCATAACGCACGATGTATGTTGCGCACAGCTGTGACGCTGTGCATAGTACGTAGGTACATACTAGTGATGTGCCGGATCATTAAAAATGTATATCCGCGGATACGGATCCGAATACGGATATTTGGTGTCAAGATCCGCGGATACGGATACGGATCTTTATAATTAATATATTTTTCAAGTTCCTCTAATTTTCACTGTGTTTGCTCGTGTAATGTAATGTTTACACTTTAATATGGTAGGTAGTACCTACTAGGTACGCAGTATTAATTTACTTTCTAAGAATTTATTTTTGGTTTTCTCATCATTTCATTTTTATAAAAGTGATCTTATAACTTTCTTTTATATTGATCTCATTATAATTATTTCAGTTGTGGTTTTCTCATTTTCTTATATTTATAAAATTAATGTTATAACTTTCAATAATATTGATCTTATTATAAAGATAGTCGATTAGTCACCTTTGAGCTATGTACTATTGGTATAGTAACTTACTACGATAAATGTTTGCAATATAAAGGTGCCAAATATTTTATTTTAAGAAATAAAAAATACTTGAATTGAATTTAATAGTTTTTTAAATCTCCGTCATCACCTTTATATAGCATTTCATCCTATCCATTGAAAATTAATAAGTTAAAAGATCCGTAAAAGATCCGCGAGAAAAGTAACGGATACGGATACAGATACGGATCTTTATTTTCCGTCGGATATCCGCGGATGCGGATACGGATATCCGGAACATCACTGGTACATACTCTGCCGAGTGCAATGACTTGCGAGAACTCGTAGGTAGTAAAACCCTATGCTCTTAGTTAAATTCATTCAAAACTAAATTCTGTCATCTGATCACGATAATTTAACAAATTACACACTTCAAAACTCAATTGCAAAAATCACAATCGTAAAGTTATACATAATACATAATTGCAAAAATCACAATCGTAAAGATATATATATATAGACGTGCCAGACTAAGGAGCCACGGTATTACGGGGCAGAGGGGGGAGGGGTCGGAATACTTAAGGAGCCCTGTGACACCCCATTAAAACGCACGTACTGCGTTTTTGGCCAGACGTTTTAATTTGGGGAGATGATGTGAGGGTAGATTTTTTTATAAATAAATAATTGAAGAACACACCTGTGCTATATTTTGCAATACATTATCGTCGTCATTTTGAAAGTAGACTAAATTTCATTATGTCATATTTATTTTTACGTTTAGTGATTATAGTTTTTTTTTTCATTCTTTTATACAGAATTTCTTAACAATTTAATCACCAATATATATTTCGCGTGGCATGCACTCAGCCCCAAGCACCGTAAAGTTACGGTGACTGTGATATTGGATCATTCTGTATTAATTATTTTATAAATTTTGCTATACTGACAAAAAATAGCTTAATAGACAGGTCTACATATTAAACAATGTTGATAACAGGAGTATTATGTAAATGCCTTCGTGACCGGAGGTGGTATTCTATATATATATAGGTATAGAAAATAAATTCCATAGCTTCAACGTGAGTCCAATGCGGATCGGTGGTTTTAATGATTTCTAATGCAGTCGAGACTAATGGCTTAACGTGTTCCGAAGCATGGCGAAGCTAGAGAATTTTTTTTTGGCGTTCCAATGCTATTCATATTCTAAAGCAGTATTTGTTATATTCTCATAATGAGCACTTTCATTGCATGTTATAAAAAAAAAACCTGATTTGCAAAACTTTCTCTTTTTGATTAATTTCCCTGAAAAGTGATCGCTATTAAGTAATGTTTCAAATTGATTTCTTTACGTTGGGTCTCTTAACATACATATGTGTACCAAATTTTCAATTCAATTAATTAAATGGTTTTTGAGCAAAGTAGACAGCTAATTTGACTAAGACAGACATGGACGGATCCACATCTAATATATAAAATTCCCGTGTCGCAGGTTTAGTTAGTATACCGACCGATTTTCCGGTTTGAGAATAGGTTGTTATCTATTTTTATATCCTTAAGTAAGGGTGGTTCAGCCCAAATTTATGTGGCACGTTTGCAGGGTCAGCTAGTTTTTATGCATATTTCCTTTATTTTGAGGTGAGTAAACTGTAAAAAAAGAAGTTATATTAATGCTCCTATGTTACAGGCACAGAGAGACTATTTTGGGGCCCATACGTATGAACTGCTGAGTAAACCTGGCCAATACGTTCACACCAACTGGACTGGTCATGGTGGTAATGTCTCCGCGACCACATACAATAACTAAACAATTATACAGAAAGTTCCGACTAATGTGGCGCATGGTGAATCTTCGATTGCGCAGATTTATAGTGAGCCTTGTTTTATTAACCATAAGGAGTAAAATAAACCGTATTAGATGTCCTCACTCACACTCAGCAGGGGTCAGGTGCGTAGATGTTGATGGATTGGCCCGATGACGTGATATGAATCATTCTGATTGGTCGACATTTCCTTATGCGCATATACTTCAATGAGCCACATCAGTTGGATCTTATTGTACAATTGTTTGTCTACACTTTTATATTCCGCTTACTTGTATTGATTTCAATCACTGTGCCTTTTAAATAAGCTTAATAACTTTTAAATTAAGGATACATTTTTGATATATTTTAATGTTGTTTGTACGAATCATTGTTAATTATTTAAGACATTCCTGTTCACTTTATGAAAAAGATCATGTATACTGTTATTTTGACATTCCTATGGTAAAATAGAATTTATGGGATGGTTGTTTGATTTTTTTTTATTGTGATTGTGATAAATTTTTATGCTGTGGGGAAAATGATATGGGTGCTTTATATTTTTGGAAATTTATTATTATGAAATTGATATTATTATATATTTATTAAAAAATAAATAGTCTCCAGTACCAGATGGCACACCTGGTACCTGTGACAGTTCAAGTATTTGTCGAAGATAAATATTAAGATGGCATTGTGAATGCAGTTAATATTAAAAAATAAATATGGTATTTATCAAATATGGCTTTTTGTTATGTCAACAATATCAATTACTATATCACAAAAGAGTAGAGCGTTATGTGGGGATCAAAAATTTACTAAAGAGGAATTCGAAACAAAAATTGGGATGAGCTCCGTACTCGGTCACGAAAGATCGCATATCATTAACTAAATGTGGTACGAGTGTGAGATGTACATATAGAATAGAGAAACCAGCAGATCGGTACTTAATTAATCTCCGATCAGAACAGAAATTATTTCGAATCTGAATAACCGAAACCCAAATGGAAACGCTTTCAAAACATTTTTATAATGTATTATACTATTTTTATATCATATACTCTTCTGTATTATACCTGTTCTGGATGTTTTATCTGTGTAAAATTAGGTGATACACTACACCGCCATCTATAAAGGATATCAATATTATTATTTTCATTGAAGTTAAAAATTGTGTTGCTAAGCAACTTTAAATCCCTTATTTGAATGCTTGGCTACATCACTTTTGTAGTTTCAGTTTACCGAGCAATACTTACGATGGCGCTAGTAAAAGTGTTATTATTTTCATTGAAGTTAAAAATTGTGTTGCTAAGCAACTTTAAATCCCTTATTTGAATGCTTGGCTACATCACTTTTGTAGTTTCAGTTTACCGAGCAATACTTACGATGGCGCTAGTAAAAGTGTCATCTGTCATTAGTATGGCAGTTTCCCTCCCATGCTTTACTCTTTGTCATACATAGAGCATTTTTGTTTTACAAAACGATCGTTATTTAATTTCATAATAAAAATAAATTGAGCATATAATATAAATGGTTATAAAGCGGATATGACCGACTTACGAATTTCTCTAGCGCCTAGACTAGTATGATGAACAAACATAATCAAGATTTGCAGGTATGCGATAGACCATGGCATACGGACTAATTTTTACCGCGGCATTAGTAGTAATGTGGTATCCATGTCTGAAGAAAGGTCTATTTACGAGGTTGGAACCAGTGTATGCTCGCGATCGTAAGAATCGTCCGTACCGCATTACACCAACAGGTCAATGCTGCAAGAACAAATGTAACAAATAAACATTCTCATTTATTGTATTAATAAAATTTATTTGTTGAATTAATAAAACATGTTTGATTATCAATAATATAGTTACAGTTGTACGGTACTGAAGTCCCCTAATCTTTCATCGTTGACATTCGATTAGTTCTCAGTTTATCTTCGTGAGCTTCAGCAGGCAGTACGTAAAGGTCATGAAAACAATTTCGTTCTTCTTATACCTACACTTTCATTATATACTTCTCTGTTCAATTTTGGCTTTATGTTAATTATATCACCCTTCAAGCTATACGACCGTGGAATGGCCTCGCCGACTCCTCGCAATCGACCATTGACGACGTTCTCCCAATAAATTTATCTTTAATCGGAAATCTCACATTTTTCTCCCGAAGATCATAATCGTATGTTTATTATGTTTATGTGCCTGTATATAGATTTAGAAACGTAGCAAGTTATTTTTAAGTACCTATTTTATTGGTGTTTTGATTAGAGTGCAATTTAAAAAAGTCGTTAGTATTTTCATGAGCAGCAAAGAGAGATCATAATATGTATTTACTACATGTGTCTAACTCCTGATGCTGTTCCATGGAGGAGCTCAACGTGTAGTGGTAATTTTTGCGATATTGTGCCGTTTGTACAGTCTACAGCAAGGTATGGAAGTGTCGAGATATGGTTGTTTCACAGTTATAGCAATGGACTTCCACAATATAACGGCCGATTGTATTAACAGTATTATATCCGTTTGGATTGAGTTGTCACATCAGATTTTAAAATGAAAGTTACCTCTCCATTTAATAGGGAATTAATTTTGTAGTCTAAATCCTGAAATTTGTAGTAAAATATGTCCAGAGTTATATTAATGTAAAGATTCTCAATCCAAACGGACATAAAGTATTATTAGTCTTGATATGTGAATCGGTAGTATATAGGTAATTACCTAATTATCACCATATCATTATGTAGGGTATTAAAATAATTAACGATTATTATATATTTCTTTATTCATTGTCAGAATCTACGCAAAAACACTTGGTTACATTGATGAGTGAATTAAGATTTTATAATATTACATCAATTTCTATTATTTCTATGGATTAAAGTGTACAAGATAGTGGAATATCATCTATAAAGAACGTTAACTCAAGAATTACAATAATACATATATCTATACTATAAGTAGTAAAATTAGAATCAGGTCCGATTTTATAGTAAATTGGTCAAATGAATGGGATTTTTGGTCCAAGGTTCGGTAGGACGTTTTTATATCCTAATAACTAATAAATTTATAGGTCAGCTATTTCGCTGTTAGGATACCGCTTTGAATCTTACACTGTGCTCGGACGCCTAGTGGTAGGCGTAAAATTTTTGTGACTCACGGAATGGACATGGTCTAATGTATGTACGTAAGTCTCAGATGAATCGGCGGGTCAAATAAATAGTTGGACAGGAAAGAAGACGTATGGTTTTTTTTGTGTTACCTTTTTTTTGGATATACCTAGCCAATGTTCCAGGGGGTTACAGCTATGGCTAGAGATATAGCAAGACAGTTAGGCCATCGTTCCCCTGGTCCCCGAAATGCTGTCACTCCGAAAACCCTGATAAACTCCAAATAACACTGTCTGTATGTCTATAAATTGGTAACTTGATTGTCAAGATAAAAAGTTTATGCAACCGTCAGAGGAGAGAGTTTCGACTATTTTCGACTCGTATAACGGTGGGTATCGTTGCGTTATATCGGCCCACATAAGAAGAAATAAATCGATTAATATTTTAATCATAAAAAAAACTTAGCTATACTACTGGATCAGAAAGGAGGATATCCTTTTATTGAAATACATAGTTCCCTATAGATACCCAGGTGTAGAAACACACTGAAACTTGTCCTAACATCAGGGAAGGGGAGGATCATTCTTGGGTGCGTATTAAGTATAGTATATATATTATATTTCACGCTGCGTTTATGCGTAATTTTAGCAACTGTCTGAATTTCAGTAGAAAGATGAGTCATTATAGGTAGTAGTACTTATTTGTAATACTATTGACAAGTCATTGCAAGTAAATTCATTGGTTTTTTCGTTGTGGTTGAGTCTTGTAGTGATTGTAGATAGATAATATTTTTAAAACGGCTCTTAGTAAATAAATTATGTAAGCATAAGGTGTCTCTATCTTAACAAGCTCTATAATTTTACCAAATATGTCAACCATTACACAAATTACATTTAAATAACATTGATAAATAGGTCAACATTTTCTAATAAAGTAATTACCTAATTCTCATTATGTGAGACATTGACTCTAATAGAGATATGACTAAAAAAGATTAGCTTTATACCGTAGTCGCAAGGAGTAAGTCATCAGAAAATTACCAAAATATATCTATATTTATATACTACCGATATATCACTTTTAGGATAATTCCACAATTATTAGGCTTTAAATATTTTCATATAGATTGGGCCTTCGGCCTACCATGTACATAATAGATAAATCTAGAAACAACTTCAATTTATAATTTAAATATAAATATATATTGGATTATGCATTAACGGTAAATTTTCTGTTACATCTACTTCGTAAATAACGTGACAACATCAAAAACATTATTAATATCCATAATATATAGTATTGGTTTGAAAATGTATATAATGATAGTGTAAAATCATTTCATAATAAAAGTTTTAGGCATTAGTTTAATTTACTATAGGTAATTTTTAATATATAAGTAGTACGTGTTGAATAATTGAGATTATTTTCAATATACCAGCATGTGCAGAGAAAATTTATTTTTATGATTTTCTATACGTATAAATACAATATCGGAAAAATATTAAAAATACACATAAGCAACATTTTGCTGACTACAAACCTTTATTGTCAAGAATGTCTCTAAGTAGACATAGCTTAAGTTTGCTTAGTTTAGTTTTAAAAGTTAAGTTTGCGTGTTCGACGAGAAGCTCTATACCTTAAGAAGGATTTATATAACAGTTACTACTTCTAATCAAATCATGTATTTACCAAATAACGATAAGTACCTACCTACACATTCAATCATAATTTACAGTCTCTTTTTTGCTTTTTTCTATTTCTAAACGACATCATTGATAAAAGTGAAGTATATTATTTATCTATACAAGGATTTGTTTACAATCAACTTTACTACTCTAATAAATGTAATTATATTCACATACTAAACATCGATAATATTTTTATCTATTTGAAAGTAGTCGCAAGCAAATACTGTAAGTTGTCATGATAAAGGCATTTCTATTCATAATTTTAGTCATAATAAGGGTCCACAGTTATATTAGCTAACTATTATTAATAGTATTTTAATCAAACTACATATAATAAATCTATTTGATTTGAAGTAGATTATCTATTAAACTAAATGTTAAAGTGACACATAATATAGATAATAGATATGCGATTTCAGCGTTCATTTCTTATTACAGAGTTTCCAGGTAAAGCACTTTTTAAATTAAGAAATTTAATAATTTCGATCACTAAAATAATAAATGTGCATCAAATCATGCATTGGGTTGTGCATTTTGTAATAGGGATGGGCGATTGTTGCAAAAAAACGATCGACTGAATCTAAAATTGTGCTACTGCGCATTCGATTGTCGATTTAGTAGTTCCCTGCCATGATTATTCGAATAACAATCGTCTTAACTACTAACTGTACGCACACTGTGTGATCATTCTGTGCAATGCGCGTGCGGTCGGTTAACTGCGCGGAGTATTATGGTGTTGCGTTGATTGTTTGCTTACTTTATTTGTAATTAGTTGGTATTTATATAATTATTTATAACAAGAAAGAGAAGTAACATAAAACCGGCCAAGTGCGAGTCGGACTCGCGTACATAAGGTTCCGTACCAGAAGCGAGCAAAAAAAAAAAAGCAATACACATTTGTTGTATGGGAGCCCAATTAAATATTTATATCGTAGCGGCAACAGTGATAAAACATCTATGCAAAAATTTCAACTGTCTTGTTATCGCGGTTCATGAACCGCCATGAAATAAAGCCTCATAACAGACGGACGGACAGCGAAGTCTCAGTAATAGGGTCCCGTTTTTACCCATTCGGTACGGAACCCTAAAAATATGTAGTAGGTTAGCGATGTCAGAATTCAAGGTTGGTTTGTATAATATTTCAACATTATTCGTCGCTCGATAGTGTACATAAGTAACAACTACATTGCGACAATCGAATGGGTGTGCCCTCAAGTCAGTGGATTGACTACTAAACAGACAACTAAATAACGTATAGCATTTGATTTTCATTTTACATGTAAATAACAATTTATTTACTTGACATTGGCAGAATTGTGCGAAATGCGCAGATAAACATAATTAATTAAAAAAGAAGAAGAAGAAATAACGTATTGGCGCCAATCACATAACTGCAGTCTAGCGCAGCGCATGCCGCACCGCACCGCACCATAAGTAGTACGCACGGGTATAGTAATATGGCACTGCGCTAGAAATTAATCGAATAAGTAATTACGATAACCGCAGTGTGTCATAGCCGCCCGCTGCCGTCACAAGGCTTAGTTGGTAACAACAATCGAATAACATTAATTGTAATCGACTTTTATCGACTAAGCTGAACAATCGATTAATTTTTTTAAGTAATAATCGCCCATCGCTTGTTTGTAAGTTGTACCTAAATACTACTCGACAATAAATATTATAGGTATAATAACATTTATCAGTTAATAATCTTATATAAACTAACAATAATAATATTCTTTCGATGATTCCGACCCGATAAATAGCAATGATAATTATTAACATTAAAAACAAGTAATTATATTTTTAACACATTAATGTATCTAAAAATTAATTAGTTTTAATATAATAAATCACATTATATTAAAACTAATTAATTATAGCACATAAAACATCACTGATTTTAATACAGAGTTAATGATAGACATGTCAGGGCATCGTAGGTAGGTATTTCTAATTTTAACACTTACAAAGCACAACAAAATTGAACGTCATTCAACTAATCTTCGGGCATTCCTCGGAAAACTACCAGCACCATCTATAAAGCCATCGTAAATGTAGTTTCCTCTTCTTAGTTCAGTCTTTCGACTTACCGCGGCGACGGCGTCAGTCGGCCCCTTTGTCCTCCTTGCGTGTCGGGCTCAGCGAACGCCCGCCCTTGTGCCTGAGCAAAAGTAAAAAATATTGTGAATAAAAAAAAAAATTGTTTTACAAATTTTTACTCATTAAAAGACTATTTAACCGAGCCGTTGGCCGATGGTTCGGACATGTGGGTAGAATGTCGAATGAATAACAAAACTAATAACGATCTGAAAGTAAAAGAATGTAGAGGCCGCAAAGGCCAAGACATACCCTTCACGATCAAATCGATAACGTGTTGTTGGAAGGTGAAGTCTGAAACCACAATAACTGGCGTATGTATAATTCGTAAGAACTAATATGACACCTGAGGGCTTACTCTATACAAACGACATTTCGGATAGTTTCGAAACCTTCTCATAGTACAGCGCTTTGGGGTACAGAGAGCATAAAATTCCGAAAGTGATGAATTACCACCAAAACAGGTATTGCTTTTTATCAACTGTTGATAAAGTTGGCAAATAAAAAATCTTTTAATAGATGAAGATACTTTAAATTAGATACTCGTAAAATAAACATATTGCTTGTATAAAATATCGTAATTCCCCGCATTCGTGATTATCCCATGCAACTTAAATCAGAAGCAATTTTAGATCCGTTGCATCATAAATTTATAGATCCATTCTCTATAAATTTATTTTTCGATAATTTATGGACGAGTTTTATAGTTTTCGTAGGAAAAAAGCCCTTTTAAGGGCTGTTATTCGGAAAATTTCGAATCGCTATTATAGTAATTTTGTTAAAATCATATCCGAAAAGATTATCTGTGCATTTTTAAATCCTACCTCCGTAGCATTATAAATTATCGAAAAATGCGTTTTTTTTGGAGTCCTATTAGCAATTTGAAAATAGATGAAAATTCTTTTCTGGCGAAATAGAATGGACCTTCAGGTGTTATATTAATTCGTACGTGTTGTATGAAAAGTGTAATTAACGTCTAGGAAGGGAAAGGTGTATGTAAGAGTAGTGTAGTAGAATAAGTTGGATCAGAATAATGACGCCACACGTTTATAAATAAATTGTTCTTTGAGAAATCTATGGTAAAGATGGTTCAACGGGGGGAAAGTCTATTTAGAAACACATATTCTCTATTTACGACAAAAAGTAAGAAATAATTCGACATAATTTCAAAAGGAAATAAGTATTACTTTATTTATTTTAAATACAATTTCGAAGGAACCGACGGCATTTTTCTTACAGTAAATGACGGTTGGAAATTTAATAGGTAAATATTTAATCGTGAGAACTACAAAGAACAATATATATTGAACCTCATAACTCGTCTTCAATATTTTTATTATAATTTTCCTTTGTCAATGTCGAATTAAATTCTTTGATAATTGGAACACAAATGTTTACAGTTTTTACACTTAATTCTTGCGTTATTGTTTTGCATATAATTATAGGCGTGTACAGGTATAACTCATTGAAAACAAAAAAATACCTAACACAATTGAATTAAACATGCACCATGCACAAGATTTATGATTTATTTGTAATCGTGTCACGTCACAGAATCTAGGATACCTAACGATATTGCCCTAATAAAAAATATCCCGCCAAAGATTGAAGCCTTCTAATAACTATGACACATGCAATTCATAAATGTAAATCATATTATCATGAAAAACTTAAGGTCAACTTCACTTTCGGAAACTCATTTAATCCAATTTAACCACAGTACATTGAAGATACACCTACACGATACCAAAACGTATTTACAAATAAGAAAAAACACATATTTAAATAATCGGTGTCATTGAAATAATATTTATTAATTATTTTAACATTGGATATCAAACTGTAGGTTGTCGACAAAAATCAGTCATTGACTTCTTCTCTCTTTAAAAGAATAAAAAATCTTTTTTCACAACTGTTTGCGAAACTCAGTTGCCGGAGCGGCAGAAAGGGACTTTATTGATCAAAAATGACCGGGCAGATGTCGTCCGGATTCCTCTTGCTGACCCCGTCGACCAGTGTAAATGAGGCATTAGAGGTATGCAGCCAGACCTAACTACTTCATATTACTGGTCATAAAAACGTTTTATTGATTTCATTGATATAATGGGACTAAATTCTAAGATAGTAAATCGGCCGCAACCCAGGTATAATTTGTCTTCGATAGCTTGGTCAAGAAAAGCGTATTTGTGATATAAAGTACACAGTATTAAGATATGTGCGTGTTTTGTTTTAAAACTTGCTTGTATAACGATTTCGAAATAAGTTTTATTTCAACTTAAATCGAAAAATGAATGTACTTATACATCTATCTAAGGTTATATTATTCTCAAACAATTACGTTATACAAAAATTAAATAAGTTTAACGATTTATTGGCCTATGTGGCTAAGGCAAAAGTACCTTCTTCAAATCATTATTTACATATAATATACCCGTAAACGTAGGATATTCTATAGTATTCAATACATTGTGTGTAAAATTATAAATCCTTTACCTATTAAACGATAGCATAAATATTTTAAAGGTACATATCATATATACAATAGTTTCTTCATAGCCATTTACAAAGCTCTACCAGGACAGATATCCTAGGTGTTTACTAATTAGCTTTTCATTATAAGCTACTGGTACAATTGATGGCATCACAATATTATGGATTTTTAGAACTTCAAATGCTGATAAAAATTGATAGCTCCGGATCAATATGATGATGGGCAGACTAATCAAGATTGGCCTGTCCAATCCTTAACCAATCTTGATTAGTTTGATGTCAGTTGATCTGTTATCCTGTCAATTCAGGGCTTCATTTTGACACATTAATCAGGGTTCCAGTTACGCGGGCGAGCCGCAGAGCGCTACATGACAGGCATCTACATAATATTAAGATAAATAATTCTTGCCTTGTAAACGTCATCACCCTCCAGCCTCTTATTTGTCATCCTTCGATTTTGGAGTGCCAACCACCAGAGCTGAAGAATGAACTGACAATACCACATTAAGCCAAACTGAACAGCTGCTCGTTAAATTAAAATTTTGTGGTACACTAAATATAATGAAGGAGCTACCTCTCAATATTACTCTTAAACTCTAGTCGTATAAACGAATTAAGACATGCCGGAGTACTACAAAAATTACCTGCTGCTGACAAATTTGGATTTCTTGTCTCCTTTATCCGTGCTTGTGCTCGGCATTAGCAATGGATTTGCGGCGTTCTTTTCCGTTTGCTGAGTGTAAAAGATAGAAAACATGTTTCACACGCTGTTACTTACATATATATATAAAACAACGATCTAACATACATATATAATAAATATATAATAACATACATATCTTTGTTCAAGCATTTGTTCATGGTAGTGATCGAATTTGAAATAATTTCATTGACGTCATATTATATGTTGAGTTTGGATATGTTTACACTCTTGTGTTTAATACGTTACCTTTTGACTGGTCGAAGGTCCTGCATCGCCTTGCAATTGTGATTGACTGTTCACGTGACCCATTTTAGAGAGCGGTGGATTCTTGAATGAATATGAGAATGCCAATCCTCGTTTCAGCGATGCTCTACGTAAGAAAAAAGTTAATTTTAATTTAAAAGCAATGCATATCCATACTTATAAACATTTGTTTTTTATATTTTATACTTTTTTATAATACTAGCTATTTGCACGCGAATTAACTTTCACGCAGATAAAAGAATATTTTAAAAGGTCCAGTAATTTTAGAGCATATTCGATACAAATAAACAAAAAATCAAATCTTCCCTCTTTATATTATAAGTAGGTATCTGTAGAATTATTGTAAGTCGATGTTGTGAAATGAAAACAAACGACCAATAAGTGGTCCCCAAGTCTTTTCAACACTAACTTTTATACTAGGCAATGTTATTCACATTGAGCCTGATTATTCAGAGTTTATCTCATTTCATATTAAATGTATATTTGGAAACAATTCATAGTTAACCTCCTCGTGAAACTTGTTACAAAGATAGTAAATTTATGTAAGAAAAATGTCCAAACTTCGTTCTGTTCTTGCAAAGTTTGTATTTGAAACAAGGACTTCTATGTATCCTTACTAAGTACTAGACAAACTGTTTGGTACTGGAAAATTACTCGCTAAAGTGTTCTGTCAATGTCGAAGCCGACTGTTAAATGTTCCATATGGAACAAAGTTGAAGATGTACTGATGATGCTGATAGATTAAATAAAAAAAAAAGATGAGAGCAAGACATTAATAAAGTCAAGCTAAATATCTTATTGATCCAAAGTATTTTTTCACTAGTCTACCAATGATATAATATATATATATATATAAAAACCGTCTAATAGCTGCTTGTTGCTTTGCTATTAGCTATAGTGTTTAAATTCTCTCTGGTATCAAAATTTTGTATATCCAATATGTATATTCATAATAATTAGATAGTTTGTGGTGTAAACGTCAAAGTAACACTTTAAAGTCTTGTAACATAGTTCTTACAAGGTTGGTTCTTACAAGTTAGCGTTTTTAAACAAAGCGAAACTAGCGCCATGTTGGCGAACTAAATGGACTTTTGGCTGCTCTTAAATCAGCCGTGTTGTTGAACGAAGTCCAAGTGTAAGTAATGATTTAACTAGAAAACTAGCCGTGCAATTAAAATACGCCATTCAATTAAAGGGCTAGCAGCATTATTGGAACTGTCAAATCCACCGAATTGGACCGCATAATGTGAAAATTGCTTTACATGTTTTCAATAGATAAAAATAAAATAAGGCTTTTAGATATCTGGCGAGGAGTTCGATATTGCAGTGTTTACTGCACCGGTAAATTATCATCTCGAGCTCCTCCGCGCTTAAGAAGGCATGTTGTGTCGTTGGCCTCGGTTCCATCTGCAGTCGTTAGCACCTTCCTATCCGCACTGGGCCCAAGCCATGGCCATGGCCTATTTTCCCCTGTTCTATTAGATGCAATTCCATTCATAGGCGAGATCTGTCGCCAGTAGTGGAGATTAGGTAAGTGCTGATGATAATGTACCTGGTTGGACTAGGCGGCGGATAGCTCGTGCCTCGGTGATCTGGCGTTAGGTATTGGTGATGCTGGGTAGCTGACAGCCTGTTACGCTGCAGTAGCTCTTGATGCGATTGATACAATTTTTCGGACGCTGATTGTGGACTCGGACTAAAAAATAATAAATAACATTGTTCGATTTGTAAACGCAATATAATAAATGTAGTTATCTCAAGTTGACTTCTTCCCTATGTTTCCAGAGTGTGTCGATAGTATGCACCACTCCGCACTGGACTGGCATAGTTATAGCGCGTTCTCTGTGTTTTGTTTTTAACAAGAATTATATTATTAGATAGTAGGCATTAAACTTGATGAATCATCATAATCACCAGCCCTTTTACGTCCCCACTGCAGGGGCTCAGGCCTACCTTATGGATGGTTAAGGAGGATGGGCCATGACCCTCCACGCTGGCCCAATGCGGATTGGAGGGTATTAATGACTGCAAATGCAGCTGGGACCAACGGCTTAACGTGCCTTCCGAAGCACGGAGTAGCTCGAGATAATAATTTTTTGGTCACCCATCCCGTGACCGACCCTTGCGAAAGTTGCTTAACGACAACGATCGCGGGCCGCGGCGCTATCCATCCACTACGCCACCGAGCTACTCCTAAACTTGATGAATGGAGGTTCACAATTAGGTAGAAAATGTACTAAGGTGTGACGTCATGTGCATTTCCACTATGTATCGCCGTAATATTGCCGTCATATTGATTACGCAAGAAATAAAAAAAATACGTGTCTCGTATTCTTTAATAGTCTATCCTAAGGACAGACAAAAGTCATCATTCCTTCTTTTTCTAAAAAATATTCTACTGAAGATAGTATCGGTATAAAAACTTTTGTGACAAACTCACGTCTGTGTCGGCCGAGGCGGTGAAGGGTCTATGGTCAAATCCGGCAGGCTGTGTACGAGCGCCATTACACCGCTTTGTGGTTGCACCCTCAGTGTATTTTTATGAGAGCTCGAGCTTCGCGACACGAGCTTGCCCGATGGCTTGCTTGGAGACTTGGCAGGCGGTGGGTGTTGTTGTATCTGTACTCATATGTCATACTTGTTAATATTTTGTTAAGTCGTGATTTCTCGTGAAGATTGATAGATTATACTCAGCCAATCTAGATTATTGAAGAAAAGTTCATTCTGAACTGAAGATATGTATATAATTTACATATGATAATCGTAATTTTTAATTATTTTTAAAAATATGATGAATTTGTAAAGTAATGGTTACATTATTGAAATATGAACTTGAAGGTAGAATTTCATATTAAAACGTAACAAATATGTACGTTAGCGGTAAAAATAAGTATATAATACCAAATTGATATGATACAATATTTTTTATAGATAAAATAATTGAAATCATAAACCAAACGAGAGTTAAGTACCGTTGGTGGGGCTTCAGTCGGCACCACAGTTTCAGATTCACTTTCGCTCACCACGTTGACAGTTATCGAAGTTACGGCTGAAAAAGAGATATCAATATTATTACGTACTTAGACAAATTAAAATTAAGTGATTGTATTAGAATTATGAAAAAAAAATGTTTAACTCGTACGAAGTAACGTGACATCTGAAGGCCTATTCTATTAAAATTTTGTATTTTTTTTTTAAATCTAAAGAAATGCATTTTTCGATAATTAAACAATGCAACGGAGGCAGGATCTGGCACTACTAGTGGTGCACAGATAATCTTCACGGATGAGATTTTAACAAAATTATACATATTTACACCATCTTTGGATTAAAAATGTATTGGATGGAATTGCCTCCGAACGGGGATTAAAACCTTGAATTGTGTGATAAATTTTGACCTTTTATTAATGTTAAATTCATGATAAAATTATGTGTTTATCATTATTAGTAGAGGTGTGTGTTTTTGTTTGGCAAAGATATTTATACTTATCATTGTCAAGTTCTTTTTACCTTCACCTAAGAATTATTAAATACGATAATTGTTATAAATATTTAATAAAATAAATTTTATTACACTAATTTGAAAAATATTACATTTTGAAAATTGGAATCCACAAACACAGTATGGTATCTCCGAAACTGTTACTCGCAGACATGTTTTGTGTTATTTATCAAGTATTAATGGACAATGTATTTATATTCATAAATATAAAAAGGTATCAACTAGTGCTTTAATGCTTCTCGCCCGAGAACAGCCTGAACTATGTAGATACGTGGAGTGTATAGTGTGACTAGGGTTGCATATTCTGCTAGGGGCTCGACGGGAAGTTCTAGGGGGTTCGTGAGGAGAAAAATAAATAAACTAATTGAAAAATTAATCTTATTTTTATTTTTTTATCAGTTGCAGAAGAATTTGTATGAGCATACTTGTCAGAGGACCTTTTTTTAAAGAAATCTCTAAATTCTACCGCTACGATAGAATCCTTTGCAAAACTATAAAATTGACTCTAATCTCCGGAAACAGTTGAGCTTTTACAATCACGACATTTTCGTCTTTTGTCAGGACGTCATGAGGACAGAAAGCTCAATAACCGATATATCGGGAAGTATCGTAATCCTTAGTGACTCTTGTTGATTCATTTGAAGTTGAGTTCTTCGTGTTGTTCTTATTCTAATTCTTCTTATTATACGAATTAAACGGCTTATAAAGCAGGGGTGTAGCTACTGCCGTATCAATCAACTTGTGTAAGCAATGATTTTTACCCTCCATTTAGGTCCCCTAACTAATTTTGACTAACTTGCTACGCCACTGGATCTAAGTGTAATTCTTACCATCATCGGGATTTTGTGGTGGTATTAAATGCTCCACTGAAGTACCAGCTTTGTAAGGATTCTTGCTGGGGCCGGCCTGAGGCTCATCGTGTGATGCAGCACTATATAAATAAAACAATTTTTTTTAATTTATCTACTTCATATTCAGAATTCAATCGTTGTAGTTTTCTTACATTACACTATGATAGTTAGTTATATATGTGATAGCAATTCCGATCACAAACTAGACACTAGAACATAGATGAGATCTACGTTGGGACGAGCTTGCCCAGAAGGAACCTATTCATTCTTGCCTTAAATAGGTCTTATGAATACATTAAAATGCAGATGATATCTGCATTTTAATGTATTCGAAGGTCCGCGCACTGCTGGTGCACGGACCTTCTCTATGGATGGAATCGAATTGAATAGGGAGAACTGGCCTCGACAAACCACCGCCAGGCCCAATGGATTAACGTGCCTCCTGAAGTACTGAAAAGCACTACTAACAAATTTTTGGCCGCCCATCTTATGACCAGCCTTATTATATCATTATTGTGAAAGTTGCTTAATTTTATAAATTTTTGTTTAGTTTAGAGAGTGGGTACAGTAGAATTGGCAACATTGTTTTATGGTACTAGATACTTATGTAAATGAGCAAAATAAAACGATTTATTAGCAATGTTTCCGAGAAATGTATTACGAAAATAAAATCTTCTGTTGTGTGAATATTTACAGCTCGGTACGTTAATCCTCTTTTTCTTTAAGATAAATAGGAAAGGCTTTTACGAACGATGTCTTTTGAAATTAAAATCAATATTCAGTCGCATCCATTTCCTGCAGAGCTTTTATGCCAGTTGATAAATAATTCAGTCACCATCATCATCACCAGTTTATTAATATCCCCACTGGTGGGGCTCAGGCCTTTCTTATGGATGGTACCGAATCAAATGGAATGGAATAGGGAGAATGGGCCTTGAACCAACAGCTTAAGGTACCTTCCGAACCACGAACGAGATCGAGATAATAAATTATCGGTCACCGATCTTATGACCGGCCATTGCGTATGTTGCGTAACAACTATATCGCAGAGCATGCGCTCTAGCCACTGCGTCATCAAGCTCCTCAATAATTACTGTTACGTAGAACAAGTTATAAAGTATTTTTTTGGATTATCAGTACGACGTAAAAGATGATAATGAAATGAAATGTCTTTATTCAAGTAAGCTTGTTACAAGTCACTTTTGAATCGTCCTTAATTTATTTCCCCTAACACTCATTCGGGATGTCTTTAAGCTGACAAGAAGAATAAGCGAAGGAAACTTACCAGCTCTTTATCATAAGTAATGACATTTACATAAATCATGTCATTACCATAATAGTACGTATTATAACAATAATAAATACAATTTTCAAAGTCTGTAGGACATAGGTTGGTATAGGAACATATGATTAGTCGTTATAGAACAAAGCGAAGGCTATTAATTCCATGCACTGCGGTCCTAAAATAATCATCAACTTTATAATAGCCTCATAAGTAGGTTCTTTACATGAATTTAAATTTATTTACGGGTAGGCCAATTACATTTTGTGGATCTTTATTGAACATAGTAATGCATTTGCCCAGAAATGATCTTCTGGTTTTTTGAAGTCTGAAAATTGGAACGCCAAGTTTATTTTTATTTCTTGTATTAAGATTATGAACATTCCTTTTTTTGTGAAGGAAACGTAATAATTTCTTGCGTACATAATATTTTCACAGATGTATTGAGAGGCAACAGTAAAAATATTTATTTCTTTAAATATTTCTCTGAGAGATTCCCTAGACCGTAAATTATATATAGCGCGGACAGCTCTCTTTGGTAGAAAAAAATATATTGAATGCTAGCCACAACAATAGGCCATGCATCATCACATTATGAAAATAACTAAAATATACCAATCTTGCATTTCAACATTTGTCAAGAGTAATTTTCTTAACAGCAAAAGCTGCAGAACTCAGTCTACTTGACAAGTTATCAATTTGAGGATCCCATTGCAGTCGGGAATCTAGCGTAATATCCAAGGAATTTAGTTGATTCTACTAACTCAACTTTTTCACTATTAACAATTAAATAAGTGTACTAACATGCCTCACATTAGGAAACAATGCAAACTTTGGAACACTGTCGTAAGCATCATTTATATCGTCAAAATAAACAATGCCACTTTTAACTTTAAACACTAAAGAGCAAATCTGTAAATAATACTGTCTCGCACAAATTCTTCGTAAAGTGAGGAAGATCATTAATGTAAATTAGGAAAAGCAATGGTTTTAATACCGATCCCTGAGGTACACTTCCATAGTAATGGGTGCCCCTGCAGATTTTACTACTTTTTGAATTCTAGCAGAAACATGATTTTATTAGATTAAGTGCATTTTTCATCAAATACATCATAATGCTCTTATTTCCCCAACAGTGTTTCATGACTAACGCAGTCGAATGCTTTTGACATATCGCAAACAATGTTGATAGCATCTTGTTTACGCTTCCAAGCATTATAGATATGCAATTCCAGCGTCTGTGGTACATTTACCTCTGCTTAAACCAACCTGTTTTTTGTGAAGTAATTTATTTAAGGAAAAGTGTGCAAGCAGTTGATTGTAAATAATTTTCTCAAATACTTTACTTAGCGCTGGTAGATTAGAACAGACTAGGGATTAGACTTGTCGCTTGCCTTTAAAATAGGATCTTTTATACCATATTTCAATAAATCAGGAAAAGTCCCTTCATCAATACATTTATTAAAAACAAAAGTTAATAGAGGCGCAATTGACTTTTATTTTTAATAAGTTACAGAAAAATTATAGATTTGATAACATAAGTTAAAACGTTCCAAAGAACTTCGATTTTTTGATATTAATAGAATTAAATGTTTTAATAATGGAATTGTTTATTTAGGTAAAACTAGTTTCATTGCAATAATTTCGCAATAAGTTGCGCATGTGTTAGTTGTAAAATAGTTTCGTGTGATGTGCATATTTTTGATGAAACTAGTATTACTGATTTCACCTCGATTTACATTTACATTGGTGATTACACGATCTACATAGTGAAACAGTTTTGATATTGACGCTGTCAGTGTCTCAGAGAAACTGTTGATTGCACGCCATTATGACAGTATTTTTACATGTGCACTTTATAAGTGCATTTTACATTACTTTCGTGAAACTTGGCTTTAGTATCATAAGAATACTTTTGAAATGTAAATACGGCTAAAAGGATTTGGATGATCATGTTCTTCCACAACCGAAAAATTCTGTAGTATACATAGAAGTTTGTTGGTTCTTACATGTCTGTTCATTCTTACTCCATTTAAAGTTGTACTATTCTTTCTTTTTACAATTTATTTTATTGTATATTGACTTTAATATTTGCACATCGTCTTGACGATAAAATATGCTGGTCTAAAATTGTAAAACTGCCTTGTTACCATATTTTCGCAAATAAATAAATATTATTATTATTCTATTTGAAAAAAAAATTGCTTTTTGGTTGATCAACACGCATTTAACAAGTTTGATGAGTTCCAAAATGGTGATTCGATTTATGCGTAGTAATTTTATTCCCCAGACTGACTGACGTCATTTATAGAATTTCTTTACCAGAATAAAAGACAAATGTAATAGTTTTAAAATAAGTTTTGAAATCATAAGTTCATCATAAGATTTGAGACAATTTTTTTACTGGAAAAAATAGAATAAAAATACTGTTAATGTTTATATTTTCTGGTGATGGAGGGAACGAAACAATCACGTGCAACTGTCATTTTGCTATTTCATCATCATCATCATCAGCCCTTTTACGTCCCCACTGCAGGGGCTCAGGCCTTCCTTATGGATAGTTAAGGAGGATGGGCCATGATCCTCCACGCTGGCCCAATGCGGATTAGAGGGTATTAACGACTGCAAATGCAGCCGGGACCAACGGCTTAACGTGCCTTCCGAAGCACGGAATATCTCGAGATAATAATTTATTGGTCACCCATCCCGTGACCGACCCTTGCAAAAGTTGCTTAACGACTACGATCAAGGGCCGCGGCGCTAATCCACTACGCCACCGAGATACTCATGCTATTTATAACGGGAAAAATAAATAATTTAAAGAAAAACAAAAAACCCGATCAAATTTTACCAATCAAATCTTCCCAAGGGGCCCCAACTGTGAGTCGTTCTGTTCTGTATTACTTATCAGAATTCTAAACAACTGGCCTTGTTTCATACATACATAGACTGATAAACACATTACCCTCCTTTGCGTCGCGCAGTCGGGTAAAAAACCGATGCAGATTTTCCACAAGCTGAAAAGTTTTCCTGTAAGCCATAACTTCGTCTATTAAACAATATAGCGCTGCAGAGAGACTAGTTCTCTGCAAGATCGCCAAAGGAATGGTCAGCCATGCTTTGTGAGGACGCCTGCGAACATCAAAATCATCCGAGAGCAACTTCGCCGAAATCCAGACTAATATTTCGCGCTTTTCAGTGAACAGAATAGTTAAATATGATTTTAAGGTAAAGGCCTATAGACGTAGTAAAATTCACTTTTAAAATGTAAGTTTTTTGTAAGTTACGACTCGAGCGCTGTCAAATGCTGCTGAGGAGACATGATGCCAGGAAGATACTCTTCACCGACGAGAATTTTCTTACTGTCGAAGAAAAGTTCAACCGACAAAACGATAAAAAGTACGCTGGAAGCAGCAAAGATGTCCTAGCTTCTGCACGGAATATCTCACGCACTCATCATCCGGCTAGTGTGATGGTATGGTGGGGAGTTTCGTATGAAGATGTCACTCCGCTCCATTTCTGCCAACAAGATGTCAAGATGAACGCCAAGAATTATCAGAGTGACATTTAGAGCCCGTGGTGAAACCCCTATCTGATACGTTATTTCACAATGAGGATACAGTTTTTCAGCAAGACGGACGAGTGGCCCTCCTCCAGCCCCGACTTTAACCCGCTGTATTATTCTTTATGGACTGAATTAGAGCTCAGGGTCTTCCGAAAGTCCCACCCAAACTAGGTTACTGAAGCGAAGACGACCCTTGTTCGAGAAGCAAAGCGAATTCCGCTTGAAAAGATTCGTGCCGCTATTGAGGACTGGCCAAATCGTCTAAGGGCCTGTGTTTAAAACAAGGGCGGTCATTTTAAATAAAATATCTATTTTATTCTTCATTATTATTTATTTAATCGTTACTGAAAATTTTACAAATATGTATAAGGTTTTAAAAAAAATCGCATCTCTTATTTCGTCTCAAAACTTAAGAACACACGAGGTATATTGGAGTAAACCATTTGCCTAACGCTCTAAATAAGTGTCATTGAAAACTAGAGAATACTCATAGTTTGTTTTATAATGAATGTTTCCACAGTGGAGATATTAGTAATTAATTAAAGAATATTATTGAAAAATCCCCGTTTGTTTTCTGCGACCAATATATAAAAGTCCTGCGAATGCGAGGACGATACTAATGCAAGCTATTAAATAAACCTGCAAGTATATAATCAAAGCTTCACGATTGATATTAAGAACAATTTACTTAGCAAATAGATGACAACTCTCTATTTATCTAAAAGTGTATATTTCCACTCTGCAGTACGATTCTGATAAAAACCTACTTTAAGAAGAAATACAGTTTGTTTTTCTTTGAAGCTCGATGCCGATCACTAATTATGATAATGACGTTTCTGATAATGACGTAACAAATACTTTTGTTACGTCATTATACACATAAAAGTTTCATTAAAGTAGCAATCGGTTTGGTTGCAATTATTGATTATGCAAGAATTGAAAAGCTCTCTCAAATAAAATGTCAGAGATTTTATTTGAGAAGGTTTTATAGAACACTAAAAATTTAAAAAGATAGATTAAAAATAGAGGTTCCATCACACTATAATTTACACAGTTACTCGTTCAAATATGGAGAGTTCGAATGAAGGCTTACGTTTAGGTAACGAGAAATAGGTAACACGAGTATAAGACATACCTACCAACCAAAGTTAATGTTATTTCTTTTTATTGTTAATAAACTATATAAATAAAAATTAAATACTATAAGTCTGTAAACGCATCCCTTGAGTACTCAGAGTACAACTGGAGACCATCATAATCCGAACAGGTTTATATGGAGGAAAAAAAATTAGAAAAGTTGTTTTGATATAAAACGTCTGTTGGAGCAGCTATAGTAATTACAAAAGTTTTACAATAAAGCATTCGATGTTCATTATAATTTATCGGAGCTACATTTATTATAAGGTTTTAAAAATGAGTGCTGATAAAAAGATTAATCGTCTTACTGGTGCGGATTCACCACCGACCACTGTTGGCGGGCACGCGAAAAATCCTAATAGAAGAGAACCTAAGTTTAGAGTCTAACACCTCAGTTGCACAAAGACCATTAAGATTAAGCTCTAATGAATGTTCTAAACTTAAATTTTTATATCGGTAACTTCGATCAACAATTTTAACTGACATATAAATGTCACGTGCAAATTGTGCAGCTGAGTACATCGTCTGCAATTTTCAAAGCAAACTGTCTAGTATTTTACAGGTTTATTAATTGAATGTTGCCAGGACAGCTTTGCTTATCATCATATGTATCATATATTTTGTAAACATCTAGTATGTAGTTATATGGATTATAAGCGAGATCAGAATCTGACAAGCCTTTTCAATTTTTGGATGGCTGTGGCAACATCCACAACCAGTGAGGGTTGAATCAATAGACATACCTCGTGGACTGATGGAAACTGGATAGGCGTGAATTTCTAGAGCTGCCGCCGGTCGAGTTTCTGTGCATCGGGTGCCTAAGGTTGTGCAGACCGGGTGTGCGGGCGCCGCTCGTACCAGAAGCTTCACCTGACACATAGAACCAGTCAGGTCCTTCGGAAACGTTACATGAACACAACCCAGATCTTTTAAAGGAAAATAATTAACATCATACACAAATGAAAAGCGATAGCCACACTCGTTTCATTAATCGAGTACAAGTAATTATTTGAGTAATCGCAATAACTTAAGCAAATATTTTTTATGAACAAATACAAATTTTAATGAAATAAGAATTTATTTCTCACCATTCTCTTAAAGTTGGAATACTATTATTATTAGCTATAGACAGCTCTTAATTCATTCAAATTCAACAATTATTACTCATACCCTTGTAATTACGTCTAGTAGAGTATAAAAATGTTAAGTAAAGTGTTAAGTAATAGAAAAACAGATTTTTCTGGCAATCAATATCATTAAATATCACGACTGCTGGGGCTGACTACATATGTAGATCTCTCGTGGATAGAATCACATGGGGATAATGGGGGTGAATCTTAGGGGGATATAACTACCGAGTGGGTCAACTTATTACTGATCGAATACTAAATTTGATTATATACTTTTATTGTAATATATTATTTATCTTTGATTATGATTTATCTTATAGCAAAATAAAAAAAAAATCATACATAATGATTATTATTTTTATTTTCAAATTACTCGTATTAATATAACAAGGAAAAAAGTAGAACTATAATTGAATTAAGTAATTTCTACTAATTGAAATTAATTGAATTATTTCTACTAATAGGACCTTTATTCATGAATAAATTAATAATATAAAGAACTATAAACTTTTAATATGGCTTTGAGACAATAGTCTGCTGGGCTTACTCGCTCTCTGCGAATACGGACTTGTTATAATTCCGAAATGTTAGTAGGACTCTATTAAAACTTCTTGAGCCTCGACTCTTAGTAGTTTATGAGAAGTCTAGAAAATTAGTACCCGTTCTGGCTCTGTACTCTTGAAAACGACATTTGATATTTATCATTGTGGACGTATCAGTATTCTATCTTACTTTTAATTGCGTATATTTGATTACATTTAATTATGTATCATAATTTAAAAAATGTACAGTACTTGTATTACTAATATTTAACATTATTTTATGGGAATTATTATCGTTTATTCTATGATGTTACATAAAGTATCAAACGTTTCGAGAAAAACATGTAATATGTACTGACGGTTTGAAAGCTTTATTTTAATAGAATATACAATATTCATGCTATAAAGTTGATTGTAAGAGAAACCCTTGCAGATTTTTTTCAAGTCTTATACATTCCATTCTCATTGGAATTTTTTTTTTAAACCCGGCCACTCTTCAATCTGGCTAAATATAGTCCCGTGGAAACTTTATCTTCTCTGGGAATCTTTGTAATTAAGGCCAAGTGGATAACTTATTTGTAATACCAATTTTCACATTTTTCAAGCTTATTTTATTCAAGTAAATTATAAAAATATTAATAAAAACAAGAATTCATTATTTTTTTTCTAATATAGAATTTTCTCGTATCACAGTTTTAGTTATCATAACTTCTGCGAAACAGCTTGACCGATTTTGTTGAAATTTTTTATTGTATATTCAGTAGGTCTGAGAATAATTATTTAGGGGTGTATTAAATAGATAACAACCTATCTATTTATTATAAACCTAATTGATAAAAACGGTCAAAAAAAATTACATATATTTTTTTGGTAAAACCAAAAATTTTTATGGTAAAAAAACGTTTGCCAGGTCTGCATAAAGGGTATAGGTAAACAGGGTTTTTAAGAAGGACCTGTAATTTGACAGCTGAGAGCAGCAAGAGCGGAAATTTAGGCTATCATTATATGTCTAATTTTCTCTATTGATTTTGAACTCTTGAAGGTTTACAATCTAGTAGACAAATTTGTCAGCTGATTTGTTCATGTTTATTAAACATTTTGAAAGAGAAGTTAGTGAATTTCCGTAATTTACATAAATTACATCGCATACATAATAGCATTGATAGGCCTCTTACAAGAATAATTAAAAATCGAAATTATCTCACGCAGACTATGATTTATTGCAATTTAACCTATAGATTTTAATTTAACTTCAATCTTTATTTCACCACTTATATGTGGAATAAAAAATCAATAATACTTACGTTATAATAATTGACGCCAGTGTACATTAAGCATTTAAATATATAGACTCGTGTATTTTGGTACCTCCTTTGAGAAATGTGAGCAAATATATTCTTTCCATAGTCGGTTCAGTTTATTAAATGTATAAACAAATCAACAATACAAACCATCAAATGAATCTGTTGTTAAAGACGCTTGGGAGAAGTCATATTCGGTAGATGCTCCCATACTACGATGCAGCATAGCCGCTACCCTTTCTCGAGCCTCGCGTTCTATGTTCACATCTTCGGAACTCTAATTGACAAATATGTTATATGGAAAATACAAATGGTTTTTTTTTATTAGGTCTAGTCCTACTATTAATATAAATGCTTGCACAGAGGCGGATTTGCATGCTTGTCCGATGTCCGTCCATGCCATGCAATCAGAGCTGGATTAGCCACGTAACAAAAGCACTGTTTCTGTATTATACGTATAATAAAGGTATAGTACAAGTATAGTAAGGGATAGTGAAAAAAATACTGATACTGATCGTGAGATTACGAATTACGAATGCGTTAAAAGACAGGATATGCATGGGGCACCCTTACTAACTACACCTGAACTAAACCCTTACAGTTAATTGCTGTTCATGGGTGAGCGCATCACTTGGAAATGGCTGGATCGATTTGGATAATTTGTTTTTTAAATACCCGTTGTAGTTCTAATAAGGTTTGTTCGGAAATATAGATTGGAAAAGTTACTCGGGAACTGCAATGAGAGAACATTCAAAGTGTTTTCTTTTCTTTGTGAGATTGGATAAGACAAAGTTGCCAGCTTGTCTTACTATATAACTGTGTCATCTCGATATTATAGGGAGATGTTGATGAGATGAAATTATAGGGAAATTAGAAATAATTAAAAATCTCAAAAAATGAATTCGTTCAGCCATTCTCATATAAAATAAATTTAACGTTTGACATATTGAACACTAGGAATTTTGTAGTAAATTTTAATTGTACATTTTTAAGAAACTACAAAATCAAAAAGGAGAATGTTCTGTGTTTGACGCGAATGTATTTTTTAATGATTGTTATTTCTTTCAAAATTAATATGACATATTTATGTAATTTTACCACACAGTAGATAGATTCCTAGAATCATCATTTAGGATATTCTTAATCTATCAAATGGTCATAAGAATAACTACCTTGATATTCAAATCGATGTGCTTGTGATAGATTTGTAGTCCTTGAGTTTTATAAATAAAATTGATATAATATATTGTAAGACGAGTGGACTTACCGGTCTGGGCCCGCTGACGCCACTCGCAGCGTAGTCGGATGACGAATCCATTTCCACCTCGGATAGATCACGCGAAGGATTTTTCGCAAACCACACACCCAGCTCATATGTCAGTTTCGCTTCCTTCAACTTCTGATCCCATAGCTGCAAAAAGTTATATATTTTTTAAAGTTTAATAAAACTAAAACCTCACGTGAATGTCCAAAAAATTTCAAAAGGTCCACGTATCGGTGACAAAAAAATTATTAGTACGAGTATTAACAAAAGACGATTTCGTTTTATTACACGATGTCGAAAGTCCCTGTAAGTGATGAGTTCCACTTATGAGGCCTGGAAAACGAGATATAATCACTGTTCTCACACCTCACTCAGAAGAATAGTGAGTTGCTTCGAATGAAAGGTTGAGTGGATATATAATCAACATAATTGGCAACTGATCGAGGGAATGGGTCGGTTTCATGAGTTTGATAGAACGCCTCAGTTTAGTTTAACATTTCCTCACAACTAGTGCCTATTTTACGTAATTAATCAGTTGTAGTTAAATGAAGCGAAGTGAGTAAAATCAAATAAATGATTGTATTGTTATTAAAAATACCAATAAAAATAAATATTGAGTGAAATTAATAACCAAAAGGCATTCATTCTGGATAAGGAAATATTTTTACATTAATAAGTAATTATTATAGTTTTCAATATTCGATAAATTTTAATCAGAAATGTTTCACTCGGCTCAGCCGACGAGTAATGGTGCGCGCAAAGTAACTACTGACTCCCTCATACTTATTCTCTTTACCTCACCTCAAATGAGGGATACCTCACAAGTACCTCATGAGGTAAAACGGGGTCCTCACTCATCCTCAATAAAAACGCGTGAGTTACACAACACTAGTCCCTGATCCTCCAACAAAAAAAAATGCTATGTTAATATAAACGAAACCATAGTGCGATTCGAAATTGAACAGCGACACCTCTGTTTACAAATTAAAACTTATAATATAATATTGTAATGTATTGTATATTAAATGAAAAATGCTTAAAAATGCACTGACACTCTGCATTTTTCAAATATTCCTAATATTTTTCAGTATAGCATTGTGAATGGAAAGTCGATCAAATATAATAATCATTGTACTTGTATATCTTATATTTTAAATTAATATATTATAAAGGCGAAAGATTTGATTTATCGTTTGTATGTTTGCATTAAAAGGCTTCGAAAATACTGAACCGATTTTAGAATTTTTTTCACGTACTGCAAGCTCCAACATACGCAGGTGAATATAATAATATTTAAGTATAACATAAACAAACAAAATCATACTTACTTACTGATCGTAAGATCAAGATCAGTAGCCTATATCGCTTTATGGTCTCCCAAGCATATTCAAATAAAAAATCTTACCATTTATACATAACAGTACTTCATTCCGGCGCTAAAGTAGACGAACAAACATAATTTCCTATGTATGAGTAATATTAATAAATATATTAAGTAGTAATAGGTAAGTATGAATTATAAACTTACTAACACTTATTGTTTTTAATTGGTAGTAAAAATACCTATATAATTATGATGGTATTAGCATTAAATGAAATTTCTATAGGAATGCCCATACAATCTTCCATCTCCTTATGATTGATTTGCCAAAAATCCTGAAATACGTATCGGGTTGGCACAAAAGTAATGAGACACTTGGTTTAAGTTTTTACTTTTTTATTATTATTACAATAAAAAAAGTTTAGTCAATGATGTAATTACCATTAGTATCTAAGACTTCTTGCCAACGATCCGGCAAAGTTTGGATGCCTTTTGCCCAGAACTCTGATGGCTGTGCCTCGAAAAAGTTGTTCAACTCCGCCTCTACGTCAGAGAAATCATTAAATTGTTTACCCCGCAAATGCTGTTTCAGGGCTCTAAACAAATGATAGTCTGATGGGGCGAGGTCTGGGGAATAAGGTGGGTGGGGTATCGTCTCCCAGCCCAAGTTCTCCAACTGCCGGCGAACCACAGATGTGACGTGAGGTCGAGCGTTATCGTGCAGTAAAACTACATTGACTCGTCTTCGTCGTTTTTTCTTGATAGCGGCAGATAATTTGGTAAGCTGGGTTGAATATTTGTCAGCGTTTATAGTTTCATTGTGTAATAGCTCATAAAACAGTATGCCTTGCGCATCCCAGAAACAGCAAAGCAGAATTTTTCGGCGGTTCTTTTGACTCGGCTTCGGTTGAGTTGGTGGCGTTTCTTCTCGAGGCAGCCAAAAAGCACGACGTGTATCGTTCTCGTAATAAATCCATGATTCATCTCCAGTAACCAGATCTGACAAAAACTCTTTACGTCGGGGTCGCAGCAAAAGTGACTGACAGATAGCGACACGGACTGCACGACTGGCGTCTGTAAGGATGTGCGGTACCCACCGAGCCAAAACTTTTCGATAACCAAGCTCATGCAGATGGTGTTCCACGGCGTGGTGACTGCATTTAAGTGCTTCCGCTAATTCACGAGTGGTAGCATCCGGATTCAACTGCAGTTCGCGGCGCAAATCGTCATCATTCACTGCGGGTGGTCGCCCTGAGCGTGGCTGACTTTCAAGGCTCCTGTCTCCTGATTTAAAACGGTCAAACCATCGGGACACCGTCGCATGGCTTGTACTTCCAGCGCCTAATGCATTGTTGATATTGTCAACCGCAGCCCGCGCACTGTGGCCTAACAAGTACTCGTATAAGTATAGTGTTCGAACTTGTCGCTCGTCCATTTTTCTTCAAACTGACTAAACAAATCGTGAGCGCGGCTTTATATACCCTACACCAGAAGTACCTAGAATGTTCTACAACATTCTAGAATATTATCGGAAAAATTGATTTTAAAAAGGAAATGTTATAGATTTTTCTAGTGTGTCTCATTACTTTTGTGCCAACCCAATATTTTATGATTTATAACAAGGTATTCCTATATCAATTTGCACACTTTTAGCATTATACACAGTTACACCCCCTAGATTAAGAAGATGGGGGATGAAAGTTCCAGTATCAATTTTTGTTTGAAAAATTTTTACTTCTCAAATATAAATACATATCAAATTTTAGCTTTCTACGACTTCAGAAAGTACCCTATAGGTTTTGGTGTTTATAAGTATCGAAGTCGGGGTTTTTAGATTGAAATGTTAATTCAAATTTTGTATGTTAAATAAGTTCATATTGGGATTACATTCCGAAAATTTCCGACCTCTAGGATCAATTTTGTGGAAGTTTCATACAAAGTTCCAGTCCTAAATTTAAGGGGATAGAGGATAAAAGTTCCAAATTTTTGAATTTTTCTATTGTCTGTATACTGATAATATCTTACATACAATAATTTTAGTTTACAATGACTTCAGGAAGTACTCTAAGTATCAATAAAATCAAAATACCTATACAGTATATAATACCTATACAATTGAAACTTTGTATGTTAAGTATATTCGTTACTGGGATTGCGTCTCGAAAATTTAATGTACAGTAGAGCGTCGATTATCCGAACTAATTGGGGGACAGGGGTGTTCGGAAAACCGTTTTTTTTCGGATAATCGAACTGTATTGATATAGCCATACATATTTATTTATCCACGGGTGAATAAAAGCCATATTTACAAATGTACCTTCATAATAATATCTTTATTGAAAAATAGGAATTAAAAAACAAATAAACTGAAGTATTTGCAACAAAACATTCTAAGTACAATATTGATGAAAATCGAAGAGTATTAAGTGTAATTTACTAACGCTTAAAAAATCTTCAATTTTCGTCTGCCGAAAGAAGCCGAGCGGCTAGGTCACGTATTTTTTAAGGACATATATTTGATACCGGTCGTTCTCGACTTGTGTTTCAAACCAACGCAAGGCAATATCTAAGCAAATAAACGCTTCTGAAGCACCAATTATGTTTCATCTTCATTATCTGAACTTGCAGTAGATGAAGTGGTGTCAGTTTTATTAGTCATCAGATTTAATATTGTAGAAATTGAATATTGTTAAAGTCGAAACAAGTGCGCGCACGAGCGCGGGGCTCGGGAGAGTCGGGAGTTCGGATAAGCGGTCGTTCGGTTGATCGACGTTCGGATAATCGACGCTCTACTGTATCTAGTATAATCTTTTTTATATGCGGTTCGACTTGGCAGGCTACTACCGAGGCCGAAAATGTTGTTGTTGTAGTATAATAGAAGTTAATTTAGCATATCTGCGTTCGTATACAACTTAAATAACGTTTATGCAATGAATGAACGAATTTGGTAAATTTTCATAATCTTATACAGGAAGAATCAGTAGCCAGTACATAAAATTTAATATTGTGTACGTTACGGTGAATTCATCCTACCTTTCTCTTTTTTTTTAACATCAGAAAAACAATATAAAATATGTTAAAAATTAATTAACATATTTTATACTTACTTATACTTACTGAGTACGGAGGTCTGTATACAGTGTATGTACGCGGCATGAATGTGGAACTTACTGTTGTTTAATTATTATTTTGACATATAACAGAGGCAGATATACTTACTTTGAGCGTGGCATGGGGATTTGTGTCCTTGGCAGATTCAGAAAGAGCGAAGATTTGGTATGCTGTTCCGACATCATCCAATATGACAAATAGTAGACCAGATATCTCCTTGCTGTTTGGACGCGATGTATATTTTGGAAAATGTTGCATCTTGTCCACCATATATTTTGGCCTACAAACATCATATGTGCATGTAACGATGCTCAAAGACTGAAGCATTTACTTGTTACGAATATTCTGGTGTAATAAATAAGTTGGGAAAAAGACGAGTGCGTTCTAGCGAGAATTATAGTGAAACGACACTTTTTGCTGCAATGATCAACTTGATTGGCCAGTTATTATTATTTGACATCTTAAGGCGAGGCCCCATTAGTGCGTTGCGTCGTCGCTGCGTCATTTTCCATATATTTTTTAAATGGTCCAATTGTTTCATAGGATCGAAGGACAAGAGACGAAGCGGGAGGGAGGGTGATGCGCTGTGTTGTCGAAGCTTTACTTCGCTTCATCTTGGCGTCACACAATGCAAGTGTGGCATATGAAGCGGTTTCGAGTCACTACGCAACGTAGCGCAACGCACTAATGGGACTTCGCCCTAATGGAGCCTTAGTGAAGTGAAAATTTTCTGGCGATATTCGTGACAATATATGACAATTTTCGTGAGAATATTCGTAGCAATGTTTGGGTCAATGCTTGACCATCTTCTTTGTTTAGATCGACAAATTTAAGAACGGACACATTTCAATATTTCTTTACAAGTGAATGATCATATCATCAGCATCTTAACAAACGAAACATTTTCACTCACCACTGTGATTTAAAAAAAAAGAAAAACTATGCAAACACAGAATAGAGTTGTATTGAATCAAAATTTACTACACAATGAATTCGCAAGAGCTTTAAAATTGCTTGTTATAATGAAAAGTATATAAAATTAAATAGGAGACAGTTACAAGAAAAACAAAAAGGTTGCATATAAAAATATTAATGAAAATAAGTCGCGTTTAGCACAAAGTAAAAAAATATATATATTAGTGACATACCTTATTTGTTTATATGGATGCGGTGAGTTTTTAGATAGTTTCTTGCATATCAGCAACATATCGGTAAGGAGGAATGCTCGAACTTCATACTGTAAAATATCAGAATTCATTAGTTTACATATTTTAGGCGATACACGATACAGACTCATTATTTTTTATTGTAATATGATTCTTCCCTATGTTTTATCAGTAAAATGTTCAAATACAAAACGATTGATCAACGTCATTGATAAGGGTGAAAGAAAACTTTTAGTCAGAATTATGTAAAATTTTTGATAATTGTTATTTAAAACTTTTTATATTGTAATTAAAAAAAAATAGATTTTAAATACTAGCCCATTTATTAACAATTAAGTAAGTAATATTTCATTCGCCATAATGTTAAATTCATTCGCAAAAGCTTTCATTATACATTTATTGATAACAGGATAGATAGATGCAATGATTAGAGATATATTTGAGTTAATGTTTTTCAGACAAGGTTTTAATTTCAAGAGATAAGAATCGCATCTATCTAATTAACAAGTACAAATCGGATGCATCCGAGACCCCAACAAGATCATATCTAAAAAGAGAATGCTTCTACTCTTGCCTCCTTAACGTTATCCCTGAAGCGGAGGTCTCCTTGGTGGATTAAAGTTCTGCTGTGAGTGGGTAAACAGTTGACCATTGGAGCTTTGAGGTTTAGTTGGGCGAACATTCGGAAATATCGCTCCATCTCTTCGTCTTTAAAGTCCTGTAAATTATATTTTAGGTTTATTTTGATAATTACTAAGTCCTGAATTTACGTTGAAAAGATTTTTGACGATAGATGTTCTGTTTATTTATACAATTTTGGTATTGTGTAAAAATACAGCGGCAAACGCTGTGCTAGTAGGTATAAAAAGTAAAATCAAATGAAACCTTTATCTCTTTTTGTCTGTTTAATTAGATTACAGCTCTAATGCTGTGATAGCGTTGTTCAATACTTTTAACAGAATAGCACTTCTGTTTATAACTGAAAATTAAAAGGTCCATCGTGCGACTAACTCGCCTAAATATGAAAAAAAAGGCGTGAACTTTTATTTATTTGTATTTGAGAGATTGTAATGCCATAGAAATGATAAGTGTGACTTTTAAATACGATAATTGTTGGTTGGTAGCTGTCGAATAGAATAACTTTAAAGTTTAATTCGAAGTTTCTTGCTACATAACTTTTAGACATTATAATTATACGCTTTAGCACTTACCTTCCAATAGGTAACTCTCAAAGTTTTGTTTGAGTCAAAGTAACTAAAATAAGTATTTCTAAATATAAAACAATGACAACAATATTTATCTTGAAACCACTCACAATTTCATAAATATCAATGGAATTTGAAAGAGCGTCCAGTTTTTCCAATTCTTCTCGTTGACGAATGGATCTGTTAAGATCCAATACATAATTTTTGGCGAATGATTCCTGTAAAAAATGACTTTGTTAAGTGAACCTCATATAAGATGCATATAAGCAAACAACTATTTAGTTAATAATACAAATTTGAAATGAAATAACACATTTATGTCATAGATAAAAAATTCAAAACAGTATCTACGACTCATACCTATTTACGGCGTAAAAATCAAAAACTGATCTTTGTTTTGCACTGATTATTTGCTGATGGTTAACCACAGTAAAATATTATCAAACGTATAGAAAAATTTGTTTTTTAGCAAGAATCATTTGAATATTTTTATAAATAAGTAATTAACTAGATCTAGAATATTACTAATGATATTTATTAACATCGGCCTTATATTACTAACTCTTCATTTATTTTCGACTTGAGATTTTCCAGCTATAAAATACTTACTTTTTAAGCTGTCAAGTATTTTTTATAAAAGTAAGGGTTAGTATATGGAATTACGCATTGTATTTTAAATAAGCGAGTTTATTTGTAATGTCTTTATGAAAGTTCTCCCGCTTATAAATTATTTAAAAATACCGGTCAAATATGGCGTGGCGTGAGAATAGATTTTTGTTTTTTTTTTCCCCACTTTTCTTCAAGACTAATAAGATAAATTCATAAGCGTAACGCAAAACATAAATAAATAAGCCATATAACAATGTCGTAATGGGTAATATAATAGGAAAAATGTTGTACTGTACGTTGCTTCTTGACAAATTTCATGGCATTATCATCAGGAATTGATTTTGATTTAATAGTACCAAAATAAACGGTATAATTATTTGTTCGTATTCTTTAGGAAATTGAGACCTTTCATAGCTTCAAAGGATATCCTGTTTGGTATTCATTTTCACGAATACCACATATGCGGCTAGTAACATATTTTTTAAAAACTTACGTACAAATGGACGGAAGACATTGGAAACACATATTTATATATTTAACTGTAAACAACAGAAATTCTTTAATATTCTAGTAATTTTAGGCTATTTTAACAAAATCCTAATTCTTAATCTAATTTAATTACTCTTCACATAAGACAGCTCCTACTGAATTTCATGCTAATTATTCTTAGTCTGAGACTTTTCAGAAGTGCTTGTTACCAGTTACTACTGCCAAATTCTATGAAAAATGTTTACTAACAAAACGTTGCTTAGCAACCAGTGACAGGCAGATATTAACAACCATTCTAAACTAGACAAGATTATGGGTATGTTCCGATATACACTGCGACCACTGAACAGTATGACGTCAATTTAGTATACTGGAAGCCCGTTCCTTTATAGCTAGTTATACTGGTGACATTTTAAAACGGAACGCAGTCCAGTATACTGTTAATCCTATTTTTGGCGCCATTTTCAAATTTGTTAATGCAAGGTGAATATAAATAAAGATTCCCTCATAAAAAAAAAAAAATTATAAAATTGTGTATAAAAAAAATATTTATCTATTAAATCCATCTTATAAAAAACGTAAGTATTTTTTTTGTTTATTTAGAAACTTATCATTTTCTGATTCTGTTTCGACTGATCACGTGATCAAAAGCACTGCGAGCACCTTACCCCGAAATCTCCAGTGCTCACAGTACAAATATGGCGGCAATTTATGACGTCATAATTTTCCCTAGGGTACTGTAGCAGTGTACTGGCTGTCCATAACGGAACGGATTTTTCAGCAGTAAGACCACTGTGCAGTGCTCGCAGTGTATATCGGAACATACCCTATATATTTCTTTCAAATTCGAGATACAAGTTTATGAAACATTCTAAGCAATTTTATATGTAATTGAATTACATATATAGTAGTGTTTTGAAAATTACCTAATCTTTGTAATTTAAAAGAACCATGTCTTGTGTAAACAGAAACCAGTAAAAAACCGATTGTTTTATTTATAAATGTACTAATACTTCATAAAACTTGCTATTTATAAATAATGCATCAATTCAAAGTGCCATTAATGCTATAGACACATTATCATATGAAATAAAAAAAAAACTTTTTGTTGTTTTAAACAGTAAAAAGGAACGTCGAAGCACACGGGATCGGCTTACATTATGGGATCGATTTCAAATTTAGTCTATCTAAAGGAACATGTTTTATAATAATTGACAACTTTATTTAGAAAATTAGTTTAAAACTTTAAACTTGTTTCTAATATCTGAATTTTATAAGTTATAGGGCTGTCAAGTTAAAATAATTTCAGTTTTATAAGGTACTATTTTCAATATCTTTTTGACAAAATATTGAAATTTTATGAGTGTTTCTGGTAATTTATGGCAGTAAAAAATATTACTCATAAAATTACTAATTAATGTGCAGTATCCTGGTGAGAAATACGAGTTTCATATATTTTTTGTCATCTTAGTTGAGATGACTCTAATTTGCTTTGTTAACATTTATTCTTTGTCAAATTTGGCTGGAGTATAGGCTGATTAAAAAATTTGATTCAAGTAATAGTATCCAAAAGCACCGTAGTGCAATAAATTATTTCAGAAAGTTATTGGTAATTTATCGATCACTATTAATTATTTCCTTATTAGTTATTTCATTATTAGTCTTAAAATAGGTTTCAAACACTTAAAATGCACCCAAATACCATCACATATTGCGGAATGAAATAAAAAAAAAAATATCTCTTAATGTACCGACATTAATGAAATTCACTGCACTATCGACTGTATTAAAAGTGTGCGAAGTACACTTTACTTAATGAACATTCATGTTAGATTGACAAGTATTTTTATATATAATTATGAATAACTGTAAATCCAAGTAAATCATGACTGCGATGATTACGCAGCCAAAATCTATAAGGCTATATGAATACATTTTTTTAGATTATCTGATCGAACATGTTACTATGACATACAAAATAATATTACATTATCTCATACATATAGAATTGTAGCAAATTAACTTTACATTTTGAAGAGTATTATTTTGTGGCATTGGTAAAGGTCCTATATAATAGGGATGGCGACTAATTTTCGTTTGTTTGTCCGTCAGGTAGAGTGTTAAAAAATATTAAACACGTGTTTTTGTTTTTTTTCATAATCACAAAATTACGGCGATACATGGAGTTGAAATTTCGCATGACGTCACGTTATGGTGCGTTTTCTACTGAACTGTGACGTAGCGAGCCCCCACTCCTCAACTTTAATGCCTGTTATCTAAGCTATTTCTTGTTAAATTGAAATAAAAAAAATACGTATCTAATATTTTTCTATTATCTGACTGGCGGACTAAATAGAATTGCATTTTTTTTACCCAGTCATCATCGCTTATTTTTTAAAAACAACATAGTAACATTATCCCTGCAATAGGCACAAAACTGAAACTTTTAAAACCACTTTTGTATTTACAATATAAATAAATAATTTATACTTAATTATGAAATAGATTGTATACCTTATTTGTATAATAACATTTGACTACATACCATAACTATGAGATTAGTACGTTCAGGTTCCGTGTCAGTATGAGTGATGATTCGACGTAGTATCAGGCTATACTTGGTGAGCCGTTGCATGGGCTTCACCATGATGTCAGATAGTTGCAACCTGGCGTCCATAAAGAAATTTAGAAATCCTAAAATCATTATTTTGTAAATAAAGTATGCCTACAGTCAAATGAATATGAAAATGCGGTTTCATATGTGGAGCTAAATATCGTTGGTACGAAAAAGTCTATAAAATAAAAAATTCGTGTTAAGTACAATAATCGTTAGTTTTGAAAATCTTTGCTGTCTATACGGATGTATAGGTTGCTGTCCATAATTAACATTAAAATTTGATAAAGTCAAAGTTAAAATAATCTTTATTCAAATAGACTTCTTAAAAGTACTTTTTAATCGTCCAACAAGATATTGTGATTTATACATGGAACTGCACGGTGACAAGTTTTTATATAAACATCAATAGATGGCGTCAGTGTTTTAATTTCTGTTAATACATATTTATTTTATTTTAAATCATTCTGATGTTCCGTGAAATACGTTTTCGTCCTTTAAATTTGTATGCATGGTCTGTAATTAGCAGTGGTCGGAATAAAGTAGAGTTATTCATGTACTTACACTGATTTCATACAGCGAAAGAATAAAGTGGATATGCCTCAAATCCCGAGATTAATTTTAAAGAGCAGAAAAAATCCCGTGATTTTTTAAATAAAAAGTTATTTACTTTTACACAATTTAAACTACTGCACGTTTTGTTATTATTATTTAGTTGTAAGATTGTTGGCCACATGGGATTGTCCATTAGAAATCCCGGGAAGGTCCACATTAATATCAACATTTCGATGCAAGTACATAAATAACTCTACCTAATTCCGATCTCTGGTAGGTAATTAGATTAAAAGCTAATATGTCTCAAAATTCAACAGAACTTTAAGCTTACATAAAATCACTATTAAAATTAAGTATTATTTATTTAATTATGAATTAATACAACTTTTTGCACATATAATGCACATTTATTGTGAAACATTTTGTTATTTAAAACCGCCTTTTTATATTGATACTTATTTTGATAACTTAAATTAACGAAATCCGTAGTTGAGTATAATAATGATATATGACAAGAGAAAAACATTCGAAAATTAAATAAAAGACTACTAAGAGAAACAAATGAGAACGTCATATTCCATTACGAAAACGATTGGTTTTAGTCGGTACCTGTTGCAAGATTTGTGTCCATGGCACCAGGTGAGATATGTCATGAAATCGGTGTTGCTAGAAAGCGATCGTAAGTAGTCCAAAGCTTTGGTCTGCTCTTTAACATATTTCTCATATGGTTGGAATAGATCACGGAATCGGCAAAAACCCGCAGCCATAAGCTCTGTATTGAATCTATAAAAATGAAAAAATATTAACTGGTTACTATAACACAATGTTTTGTTATTATTTTTAGATAATAAAGGGAGAATAGCCTTACTGGGCGTTTTCTATTATTGTAGAATATATTAATAAACTAGCTATTTCATGTAAATAATAACCAAAAACTCTAGTGCTAAAGTGTCTCTTTTTCAATAATAAAATCATAAGTGAGTAAAGAAATGAATATATATTTTTATAATCAGTGTACGTAGTAACTGTTTACTTACGGCACTCCCTTTTCATGAGCATCGACGAGCATCGGATATATGGTGATCTCCCAGAAACAGAGACTGGCGTTGAGAACATCGGGAATGTTTGAGAAAAGCCGCTCAGTATCCACATCAAGGAGCTTCCCGCTATCTTGGAGTGCGTGTGCGGCGGCTATGAATACCTGTTTGAAAGTACTTGATTACTTAAAATTAAATTAACTACGTATTCCAAAATCTTATCGCATTAAATTCTTATTGACGTACTACAGACAATTTTCAATTTGCCACCAAAATCTAAAACAAATGAATGAAATAAGTACATCACAAGTGGCCAGTTTTAAAATGATGCGTGCCAATGACTCAAAATGGTTGTGTCAAAACTTGCAAAACTTTTAAATTGTACTTTTATTAAAAACCCAGATGCAGAATGCATCTACTGCAGTGACATCGGAAAATCCGTACAATCTGCTGCGTTTAAATTGTGCTCGATTTCGATTCACACTTAGTGATTTTCCATTCAAAGGGTTACAGCAGTGCTTTCTATTAAAAATACAGAGTCTAACGGAGCACGATACACAGTGTTGCAGCAAAATTAGATTCAATTAAATAGAACCTGTTTCCAAACCTAATAAGAGATTTATTTAACCTTCAATACTGCGGCAGCAGTGTGTTCGACGCCGTATTTTCACAGAAAAATAAATCAACGCTAAAAAAAAACAATGATCTGAAACTATTATCGATATTTTTTCATTTAATAAATATTATTAACATAACTGTTATCTCAAAATGTAACGCTACGATCATGACAATTCCCTTCCATTGAATAAAAGTTGAAATTAGAATAGGTACTAACGCTTTTTCTTGATAAATTAATTTATAGGGCGGTGATCTTATTGAATCTTTTTCAAAATATAAAGGAATATTTTCGTACATCAAAACAAAGAGTCGGCTTAAAATAGAAAAGTGTTTGAGTATGCTCGATTAATCCATCAGGCTGCGTTCGAACTCAACCCTAGTGACGAGTGATGTTTCGCCATATAGTTTCTGTCACATTATTTCTGACCCATTTAAGGGCACGAGTATTCTTTCTAGAATGCCAATATTTTATATGAATTAATACCGTTTATTAAAAATTCCTAATGTAACATTCTAATAATTATTAATTTTAAATGTGTTGATAATGCAGTTCGTCAAAAAAAGAAACGAAAATCTATATAAATAAATAAAATTTAAAAGTTTGTTTGTAATGTTAGAAATGACCACTTTTAACTAAATGCATAATGTTGAGGGAGACTTTGTTCCCGACCTTCCTGGTTTAAGGTCTTCTTAATTAATTTGAATATTGACATTTGGCAATCTGTTTTGCACATGCGCGTCTTTTGTTATTATAGAAAAGTCAGGCTCTTCATAAAGTATTTTATAAAGTATATATTTTTGGTGGTAAATAAACTCATGTGACCTAAATGCTCCCTGGTCTTTCTCTATACCCTTTTAACCATCGGGTATCAGTATGTATGCAAAAATAACAACAATTTTTTAGTCTATCTGTCTGCTTGTTTTCTCTGGAATTGGCTGGACCGATTTTAACGGGACTTTCACTAGTTATGTAATAAGAGTAACTTAGACGAAGTCGCGGGCACAGCTAGTATATTATATTATTATAACCATATAACCACTACTAAACAGAAATTAATCACAGGAACAGCACGATTTACTACTGTTTTCTAATAAACATCAAGATAAGCCTTAAAAAGGTATTGTGAAACATATTTTTCTATATTAACTTCAACGATAGTATCAGTGTGCACAGAATTTGATAAAGATGGATTGTTTATACAGGTTGTTGCCCATCGGAGTAACAGCGGAGACTGGATATTAATTTAATCATTCAACAAAATAAAGCCGCTATGAACTGTGAGTTATTTGTGAGGTTTTAAAATCTATTGTTATTCTTTTCAAAGTTATAGCAATTTCGATAGCGAATTATAGAAAATATTTAAAGTTGAGATGATGAATGATAATTTGAATGGTCAAGAAACAAGATAAGCACTCAAATAAATCTGTAGTAAGATTTCAGTTAGCATTCAATTTCTTCATTTGATATTTTAACAACAGCTTTTAAAAATATTTGTATATAACATCATCATCAGCCCTTTTACGTCCCCACTGCAGGGGCTCAGGCCTTATGGATGGCTAAGGAGGATGGGCCATGACCCTCTACGCTGGCCCAATGCGGATCGGAGGGTATTAACGACTGCAAATGCAGCCGGGACCAACGGCTTAACGTGCCTTCCGAAGCACGGAGTAGCTCGAGTAATAATTTTTTTTGGTCACCCATCCCGTGACCGACCGTTGCGAAAGTTGCTTAACGACAACGATCGCGGGCCGTGGCGCTTATCCACTACGCCACCGAGCTACTCTTGTATATAACTTGTATATAACGGTTGCCTTAAATTAAAAATCACTTTCATTAAATATCTATCAAAATAGCGCCACTTTCGCAATCGCTTTTTTTATCTCATCTCATACATCATAATCGCAATTAACGTTTCTTCTTACGTAAGCGTCGTCGCTTACTTTTTCCTGTAATTGTTCAAAGTAATTGCGTCTGGGATTATTCAATTCTCAATTATATAAGTATACTAATATTATAAAGAGGAAATACTTGATTGTTTGTATGTTTTGCATCGGATACTCTTCAACGGTTACATCAGACACGGGTGATATAATTTATGCGAGCAAAAAGATGCGGAAAACAGCCAGCTGCAAATGAAAATGAATGTAAAATTATACACGGTGTTCGATACGAATTCGATTCGTATTCGATTGTTTCTGCTAACCGCAGATGAGTACCGGTGTCTACAAATTGTGCAAAGTATGCGAACGATTACAATTTGAAACTTTACCGTTCAGTCATAATTAGTTTCACGAACTTCTATTATAAGTTGTATTAGACAAACATATCGTATAATCTAGGGTAGCGGCAGTAAATTGCCAAGACTTTTTTTAAAAACGCGTCGTTGTGTTTTTAGACCCTCATATTCAACTAATATTCAAGCTAAATTACAATTAGTGTCAGTTAAAACTAGTGTTAGCAACTGGCTGGTCATCTCACCTTTTTTATAAAGCTTTGTATATATTTTGAATATGATTGACGTTTTTTAGTTTTTGGTTGTCTGTCAAAATCTTGTGTGGCATTACGTTCGTGATCTGATTTGTTGTATAATTTAAATATTAATTTGTGTTATCCTTGTTTTTACTGTGTTTTTCGAATATATCATATTATTTAATACAGTCCATCTTTAATTAGCTACCCTGTAGTTATCAACTAGTATCCGAGTAATAATAAAATGGGATATTATTACCGAGACGTTTCTAAATTACCTATAGTCTATGTCATCCATGTATGATGTAGTTTTCTGTAGGTAGAATAATTTTTAAATTCAGTCTAATAGTTAGGAAGACTATTTAATACAAACAAACAAAGCAACAAAAAAATGTATTTACAAGTATAAAAAAACTTAAGAACTAAATATACCTAAGAAGTATAATTATTTTTAATGAAAAATGCATAAAAATTTCACTTGGTCTCTGGCACCCTGAGATTGGCATCGAACCCATGACCTTTTGCAATCCGGGCGAATGCTATTTTTGTTCGCATCGTGAATGCGAAATCGATCTAATAAGAAGTAAAGTATTCAAAAGCGACAATTCGTATAATATAAGTTATACGAAAAGTGTTGCTTTTGAATAATATACTTCTTATTTGATGCTTATATAGGAATATATTTTATATCCTATTATCAATATTATAAATGTCAAAGTTTCTTTGTTTGGATGTTTGTCCGTGAATCACGCTGAAACTACTGAACGGATTTTGATGAAACTTGGTATACAGATATGGTATAGGAATTTTTATTCCACTAACATTTCCCTAGGGACCACGCGGGCGAAACCGCTGGTGAAAGCTAGTGCGGATGTTGCTTTTTCTGTTTGTGTGTCTGTTACGATTTTAAGATTAGAACTGTTCAAACTAATGAAAAAATTTTAATTATACCGAAACTTAATAGATAAATTTTCTCGGAATTATATAAAATCTCCAACAACTATCAATACTAACCAAATACTTAATCGCAGATATATTTTTGCAGAACAGACTTTTATTATCTTAAGATACATGTCATCCCATTATTCGGTACTTCGATTTTGGGTAGGATCAGATTTCACTGTTTAATGGTTGAAGTAATACGGGCCGAGACCAAGAGCGCAAATCCTGTTGCGGGATAGGATTTGAGACAACTCTATTCCCACCGGTGACGATATATTTTGCCTTTTGATAAATTAATTTTGCAATCGATTTGACAGCTGGGGTACAGTTACCTAGACGTACTTTAATTTTGGATACATCTCGTTTTAAGCTTTAATTTAGAATGAAGAATTATGTTAAATTATGTTTGATAAGTTGTTAATTTTTATAAAATAACAAATAATGATGTTGGAGACATGAACCATTTCATATTAGATAAAAAGCACAAGTAATATTAATTAAATGAGACAAAAATGAGAAATGAAATGAAGATTATTCTTTTTATTTTTTAGAATAATACAAGAAATTAATTTAACATTAAATTTTCCAAATAGAGTAAATATACCAAGACTAAAGTAATTACTTATTGTTTGACTTTCTAAATCATAGTGTTAAGCTTATCAATGTCTAATAACTATTAATGAAATTTTAAATCAGAGTTCACATATATTATATTCTTAGATAACTTAATAACATACAAATATGACAACAGATAAAAATATACCTACTACTAATCAGCTCCCTGGGGTCGCACCGAGACGCCTTCCAACGTCGCGGCCGAATGCTGCATATCCCGTAAAGCCGGGATACGGCTTATCCTAGGCTTATTATGGGCCATCTAATCTCATACGATCATTTTCTGATTCGAGACGCGTTACGATTTAGAAACTGAATGCGATTTTGATTGCTGAGGTACGCTTTTTTACGGGGATGATAAGTCGTTTTGCTGTGGTATATGTTTTATGAAATTGCAACTTTCTGTTATATGTTTAGGTGTTGATTTATTAGACATTGATCGATTGAATTAAGTGTAAATAATAACTATATTATTTACAATAACTCGTTATTTACCGTAGATTAAGGCACTTGAGTTTGTTTAATCTTCGCATTATATTAAGTTTATAGAATATTAGCCGATTTTCCGCCACTTTGCCTGCGTAAATTACGTAGTTTATCTCATTCGCGTACAATGCAGTGGAAATATTTTTTAAAATCGCTTCATTAGTTTCGGAGCTTATTCAATGCAAACAACTAATTAATATTTCCTCCTTATAATAGTATAGATATTTCCATTCTCTACACACTATTTCACTCCCGACACAAGAAAGGTGTAGACATAAACCTCTCTAGTTCGTCGCGTATTGTCAATATACGTCAGTTGTACGCATGTTAATACACTACACGAAACAAGAATTATTCTTCCGATTGTTAGGGTTTCTGGAGTAAATTAGATTTTTTTTAACAAAAGCGCAGCGATAGATATTGTTGAAGTCGTTATGATAACCTTGTATCGGCGCCTAGTGCCCTAGTTATTTGAGGATTAGCCTTTCATCTCTATAATCTTGTGTCAAGAATAGTATTCTATTATTAATATAAATATTGGTAATATTTTTGAAATTAAATAAACCTATTCAACTGATTTAATACAGAATAGCAAACATATTTGAGTTCAGTAATTCACTAATGACATATTATAGACACGCCATTGGTTTGTTAATAAGCTAGCAAACTTATAAATCTAAGAGCTCGTGACAAAAAAGTGCAAGAGCTTTCTAAAGCTTGATATTTCAATATATCAAATTACTAAGGGTATACTTCACTGAGTAACCAGTACGGAGGTTCCAACACTGAAGTACTTTAGTACTTCAACATATAGAAATATCAAGCTCTGGAAAACTTTAGAAGGCAAAAGGGAGAAATTCAAATATAATAGAAATCTACATTATTGAGTGCATACAACCCAGACTTATTTAAGGCAAGAATGAATAGGTTCCTTCTAGGCGAGCTCGTTCCACTGTTGATCTTATACATATTCATGAGCTGGGTTGAGAACAAGAGTGAACTTATTATAAATAAAAAAAATTGATTCCGAGACCCCATTTGGAGATTGTCGAAACTAGTAACGTGACGCAATAGATATATTTTGTGAATTGTTATTGCGGTTAGATTTTCTTTAACTGAGCTGTCTTATATCCTACATTGACACCGTGTGAGTATTTTGAGTGTCCACATCTATGTATACCTTTGTAAGTTTGATTAGAATTAAGTTCATATCGCCGCTTACGTTCGGTAATCCTTGGGTATATTAAAAGCGACTTAATTATACAAGAAACTGCTATTGAAGACGGGCGGTAATTATATACAACTTACCAAAACCCGTCCGTATTCAATAGCAGTTTCTTGAATAATTAATTCTCTTTTAAGATAAATATTATTTTTCACTTTTTAAGATTTTACATCTTTTTCACATACACCGACAGTCGCTATAGAATGATGGAGATACAGCTATGTGTAGTGTCCGTGCTAGGAAGAGTTCATGTTTATTAAGGTTACTGGATATTTTTTTTTTTTCTAGAAATTAATATACTGATTATTTGCTATTACAACAAAATAGCTGTCCAAAAACGAGTAGGACTCGTGCACCGAAAAATAATTATTATGAGAACTGTCCTGGTGTCATTAAAGGATATTAGACGTAATTCATTATTTTACGTAAGACAATTTTTGATAGTTTTTATTCCTATCCCTTTTATATTTTTGTTCATGTTTTGAAGATTTTTGTATAATATTAATTTACGGGTTTAATCTTATGTAACTACCACCCTTCTTCCCTCATGTAGAAAAAAAAAAATAAGACCTGGGCAAAAAACCTTCTTCTATAATCATCTTACGTAATAATAATGTATGGCTTATTGTTTGTTTACTAACCTCGACAATTGATATTAGATGTCTTATGTAATCAGCTTCGGTGGTGACCAGCTCCCGTATCACCGCTTGGCGGGCCTCCTCGTTCGGACTCAGTTCTGGTGAACAAAACAAATTTTGATTTATTACTTATTTGCGTTATTTCTTCGAGCCGAAGGCAATGGCGTGGAAACATAATTATACCGTGGATGGTACCAGAAGGCATTATTATGGGTGTTCTAAACAAATTTCTCGTAATTTTGGTAAAAGTGGTAAACGAGGTTACGTTTAGCAAAATCATAATATAATCCCTGATGATAAAAATTATGTTTTTACACAAAAACAGTTTTATTTTCTAGAATCGGGATTGTTTTGAACAAAATAGAATGTATTGGGTAGGTAGTGAATTATATGGTCAGAAATTATGTAAATCTGCCATGCGCTATAGGATTACAAGTATGATATGTTGGTTTAGCCATATTGGGTGTTCAGAACACTCTGTGTCTTGTTATTTTACACAGAATTGATTAAATTATAAAGAAAATTATATGCGAAAGTATTTAATGTGAAGTTTCACATTGAAAAGATAATGTATAGAAGAAATTTGTACAGAGGACGAAAAAGTTCACTTACTAAAGAATCAAATTAAATTTTAAAAGATCGAATAACATTGTTCTTATTGTTGTTTATTCAACACTGTACATTTAAGACCTGACATGAAGTGAAAGTAACGGCAAAGCCTTAGTAGGAATAATAAAAAAAAACTAATGAGCAAGTGATAAGTAGTCATACTTTATAATAGTTTCTAAAGATTTAAGTGTTTATAAAGCTCAAGTAATTATAATGAAATCGAAGAGCAGTTGACATTTTCATTATGAGGTTATGGAGATTAACTGAATTGTAAATGTCGGCCATTAGATCAAGAAAATTTATCTCCCAACAGTCATCAACACCAGCCTACTAAAGTTCCCATTGTTGGGGTACATGTCTTCCTTATGGATGGAATCAAATCGAATGATAAGGAGAATGGGCGATGACCTACCATGCGGGCTCAGTTCCGCTTTAAAGGTGGGTTTGTAACGGTGCTTCGTAGACCGTTTATTTTGTCCTTTTTGTCTTCGTTCTTTAACATTATTTATTATTAATTTTTCGTAATTTGAAATTTAGAGCAACGCGATATGCTCTTTCTGAATGTCAGTTCGTAAAAAAATTCTTCCAGCAACAACACGCACATCATTGAAAATTAAAAAAAACATTTTTAGTACGTACATTTAAAATCTATGTTGTAATTTACGAGTAGTATTTATGATGTGTATGTATATAAATTTTTAATGTATCTTCTAGACTCCAGAAGATACATTGCAAATGCACCTTTTTTATGTAAGTATTACTATTACTTATCATATTCTTAGAAATTCATATAAACTGTTTTTGTATTCTTTTTTGTTTGTTGTTACAGTTTTTTTTTTTGTTTAGACTATAAATATATCAACTTATCAAGCCCAGTCAACAGTTTCATTTTCCAACCAACAACAAGCACCGAGCCGTTCACAGGTTTTAACGACTGCATATGTAGCTGGGACTTAAGATATTTAAATTCTAGTCCACCGTCTCATCACCGACCGAACGCGATAATCGCTGCCTTATCGAGCTCTTTCCAGCATATTAAAAGGCTGATGATGACGATGTAATAAAATAAAGTTTTCGATGGTGCTTCGGTTGGTTAGCAAGTTAATACGTCGGCGATACGGAGGTTAAGCAGCTTTCAAAAGGTCGATCATAGGAAGGGACCAAAAAAAATATTTCATGCTTCTCCGTGCTTTCGGAACGCATGGCCCATCATGGCCCTTTCTTCCATTCGATTTGATATAGGGAAGATCTGTGCTTCAGCAGTGGTGACAATAAAAGGCTGACAATGTTGGTGATGATTTTTTACCGATATAATTAAATTAAGTTTTACATAAACTACTGTATATTTCGTACATCTGAAATCAATATTACGTTGTAAGAAATGAAGGCACAACGTCAAGTTATTAAAACACAAGTTATTAACGGTCGTAAAAATTAATAACTGGTTCATTAGAAGGCGAGAAATTCAAGTTAGTACGCAATAAAGTGTTGCATTTGACCGCTGTGCTATTTGATGAACATTTACAAACCTGACCCTTGAATGTATATTTCTATACTTAAAGCATTACGGTTCGACCGACATTCAAGTAATATTCAACTCTATACCGCTAAAATTAAATAGAATTATGTAACGTACGTAGTTCAAACAGAATAATGACGAATTTAAGAAACCCTTACATTTTAATTTGGGTCAGATTATTCCCATGCATAATTATGTTCTTCAGGTGTTTTGTGTATTGGAGACACTAAAGAAATGAATGACGGGAAATTAGGTATATTTAATTTCGAAGTTACTTAAATATAATTTATTATCTGTTTTCTTGAAAATAATAGCCTATATCCACCCCGTACATATATCATACCTACACGTAGGTGAAAGAATTTTCAAAATCGGTCCAGTAGTTTTAGAGCTTATTCGATGCAAACAAACATACAAAGAAACAAATCTTTCCGTTTTACAATATAAGTATAGATATGAAATAGGTTTATGTTTTTTTATATTCGTCACTGGTGCTATTCCTTTATTTTTCGAACACATAAAAAGTTGAAAATATACAAATAGACAGAAGGACGAATAGACAGACATCGATTACTACCTTATTGAGGCGCAGGAGCGATCACGTTGGGGATCATTGGGGGAGGCCTATGCCCAGCAGAGGGCATCTCTCGATGATATGATGATGATACAAACGCTAAAATGTGTTATCCTAGTTATATTCTGATTAAAGATTAACTTATAGAGTTGCAAACCTGCTAGACTTATAATCTATACCTAGGGCAGGCGAAAAAAAGGAACTAAATGGCTAAAAAACGGACCCATAGAACTCTGTATTGTTTCGGCGGAGTACTGATCACAGATACTGACTATTGTTGTAAAGTACGGGGTCAGCGACATATAGTATTAGAACATACTCAGACATCCATAGACTTCTGTATCGCAGAAAGTGATACAGAAGTCTATGGATAGCGATACCTATCGATATACGTGTCGCTTTCTTTATTCATCAAGGTTCTTTCTTCACCTTAAATTGTATTTACATGTAACTAATCAACCAATTTAAATATTAGATCACCGTATTATACAGGTATACAAACAAGTATCGGCTTAGGAAATCGTAGTAGTAATAGGAAACTTATCTATGCCGCTTCACACGTTTTTTCGTATTCATATGTCTGAACCAATGAAAGGCACATTATTTTCACATTCAAGGAAAATGGAATTTCACAAAGAAATGGAAAGTGTTCTGGCGCCGAAAAGTGCTTTCCTTTTAGTTGTGACTTCATTTTTAAGAGATAAAAAGAAATGGAGATTGTTACTTTATTACTGCAACTTTTGTTTTGTTGTTTTCTAAGATGTTATTATGTTCCATTGTGTTAAATCGAGGTGTAGTACTGAATGCGTATTTTGTGCCCCAGGTGCCAATACTGCCGTGATTCAGCGTACCTTGTATAACCATAGCCATTTCGAGCTTTGTTGATCGCCGCAAGGTTTGCGTGCGGGGTGTTTTAGTTTGTATGGCCATGATTCTTTTTGAGTTTAGGACAAACAGGTACGAATTACTATAAAAGTGTAATCATCCTATTCGTAGTAATGATAATTATATATTAGACATTGATTAACATAATCGGTAACTGAAGTTGACATTATTTTAAAATCTTACAAAAACAAATATTAAATTACTTGTACAAATGACGTTACTATAATCGATTTAAACATAAATAATAGGTAATAGAACGGTGTTTTATTATTGATATCAGCTATCTTTTTATATGCTATTTATGTAAATAAAGTAATTTATTAATTATGTAAATAAAGAAATTGCGTACGAAGGGTTCCGTACCGAAAAAGAGCAAAAAAAAAATCACATTTCTTGTATGGTTGTTATAACGACAAAAATACATGATCTGTGAAAATTACAACTATCTAACTTTTATGGTTCATAAGATACAGCCTGACGACAGACAGCGAAGTCTTAGTAATATGATTCCCGTTTTACTCTGCTTGGTGAAAACGGGGACCATATTACTAAGACTGCTGATAAGTGGTTAGTAACTTTAAGTACTAGATTTTCTTCCTGTGCTTAAATCGATGCTGTGTTAATATATTGGAATATCAATTCTGAATGATTGGTTTAAAATTGTTCTAAATGAAACGAATGTGACTAACAATATTAGATTTCTCGGTACTGTTCTGTTACGTAATAAGTTATTTTAAAAGTATAAAAAAATAAAATATCCATGCTATAGCATGGTAACCCTATGCCATAGCGTGTCGGTAATCGGAATATCGAATGCAAGCATACAAATATTAAAAAAAGACGATAAGATGTGCTGCTAATCAAAGTTTTCAGGGCGGCAATTTTATATTCCTTATATTTATTTTGAAAAACTAGAAACATACCATAATAACTAAAACGTATCCTTAAACATCAACCACAAAGATTACTTAATTTTGTTGCCTATTTGTATGTAGTGCCACTTTTATAACATTGCTGCCCTGTATCTTAATACAGGGCACATTATATTGTTAAATGATTACGGAACAAGTAATATAAAAACAAGTAAGAAGGAGGGTGTCGACCAAGACACGGAAATATCAAAAATGTGGAAAATTTAATTTCAAAAGCTTATACAAGATATTGCCTTTGTCACACTGTCTAATTGAAAACTCCAGTGTAAATTATAGTTTGTTTTCTGTGTAAGTGAGTGGTTACAGTAGGTTCGGAGCCTATTCAGTGCAAATTAACAAACAACCCTTCATTTTTTTTTTCTTTATAATATCATTAAAGAAAATGTAATTCATTAATTATTATGATTTTATGCAAATATTAAAGTTGTTTAGACAGCTGCTTGTATTTGTATCTAGGGCACACCGGCGAACACAGCTGAAAACTAATCGGGGTTATTAATATAAAGATGATAGCATCGATACTTTCATAATCTTAATTACAATAAATGTCATCATTGAATGCTTATGATGTACACAACA